CATGTTAAATTGTTCAATCATGATCCATGATCCAGTTTGGGGGTGGCACCTTGACTCTGCTAAAATCAATCTGCAACACCTCATCATTCTGGGGCCTCAGGATGGCATTGCGGGACGGGCGGGGTTGGAAGGCTGCCACAACTGGGGGTATCCTATCTATATGATTCTATATGTCGCTTGCGGACATGTCTCACCAAGTGGGATGGTTATGATGATTACCATCTGTTTATTTAACATAGCCATGGAAAGATCCACCATTTGTAATAGGTAAACCATCTATTTCTATGGACCATTTTCCATGGCTATGTTAGTCATAGCCAGATGGCAGATCATTTTACATCCATCCTGGGCCCAGCTGGAAGTTGTTTACCTTGGACCAGCTGCCTCCAACTTTTCCAAGTTGCACTTGGAAAGTAGCCTTAGCAGACCCTTCAAGTCATTGGCCCTAAACGGCCCCAATCCCCACAACCATCCCAACTAAAGACGATGTTTTCAAAAAAACAGAGGATAATCCTGATAATCCTCTGAAGTTGGAGGTAAAATGGGTAAAATCATGGTTTCCCCATGGTTTTCATGGACAAATCCTATGGTTTCTGCCCCATGGCGTGCCAAGCTTCAGCTGGGCAACCGCACCCATGGGAACGCTTGGCACCACAGGAACCAGTCCTCATAAAAAAAAATGGGGATATCATCATGGAACATCCCCATTATATCCCTATTGTCATGCTATATATCCGTATCATATGGAAATATCATATAATATCATGTAATATCCCCATTCATAAGCTAACTGTGCCCATTCACCTCATAAAAATGAGTATGTGTGGCTTACCAAACTGCGCCAAGACTTTGGTCCTGGAAGTCAAGATCTCCATTCTGGAGAGATGAAGGGAGATCGATTTGGTACCAGCATGTACCAGCTTAACATTTCCAGAATATCTACATTATGTGATATGATACTGTGTATGCAATACATATATAATATCGTGCGTGATTTCCAGCACTATTGGTCGGATCTTACTCCTCATCCACCAACCGGTCGGTGAAATAAGTTCTGACATCCTTGGGCCATCCTGGGCCCATGTGGCTAGGGCTAGGGGCATTGGCAAATCGACAGAACAGTTTTCCCAAAGGATTGTAATTGGGTTCCTAACTTTTTCTACTGATTCTGTTTGCAGATTGCCACTAGGACAATGGTCATGACATGCCATGTTTAAGGGCATAAACATCCATTTACCGGCTATGAAACACATGATCCCAGGGCGTTGAATCTAAACCCACGTGATCCACTCGAGGATGTCTGAGAATCCGAATCCTAAAAATCCCATGATTCATCATCATCATCATCATGATCATCATCATCATCATCATCATCATCATCTTCATCTTCATCTTACCAATATGGATCTCAATATGGTAAGATTATGGATGGTTTGTGGTAATGATCAAACGATTCTCCGAAGTTATCCAATGAATCTCCCAATTTTGGGGAAGCCAAGAAAACCAAGCGACATGTCGCCATGGCGCCATGTCTGAGCATCCACACAAGCACGGGGTCATGGTGGCAATGCTCATGGCTTCGGAAATCGCCACGCTCAACGACATGGCACGCGGCCCGGGACTGGGCTCAGGCATGGGCTCAGGCGGCAAAAAGGTCATGACCCATTGGTTGGTTCAAATCTTCCAAAAGAAGTGGATCTCTGGGTATGGAAATGGATATGATCGTAGTATACATCAGTGATATCCGGCTTTTGGATATCCAAATTTCTATTTCAATTCATTGGGTATCATAGTGCCTAAGAATGTGTTCGATGTTGTTTTCCGGTTGGTTCGGTAGATGAGTGATCTTCGCTCCGGAACAAAACAAGGCACGTCGCGAGGCAGATCGTGGCTATCCAGAATCGGATGGTTGGCACTCAAAAACTACCAATGTTTCTATCCATTTCCGGTACTGCGCTCGTCTTTAAGTGGCAATACTGGGCGGACGTCGTTGGTAGCCACATGCTTGCGCATTCTTTTCAGAACAGTAAAACTCAAGAGCTTTCAGCGGTGGAGCATGGTGGAGCAGAAGAGGAAACCAAGCCAAGCAGCAGCTGCAGGCAAGAGCAAGGAGACAGAAGAGGAGACAAAGGGCGAGTAAGGGAGACTGAGGGGAGACAAAGGGACGCAAGCTTGGCAAACAAGGCGGCGGTGACAAATTTGAGCGGGCATAGACTGTTTGAGACGTATTGTAGGAACCGTGATAGCCAGGTAAGCATCGTGTGCCTATGCAAAGTGCCAAAAGATACATCAGTAAGTTAAAGTCATAGGCGCTGCCCATGTGGGCCTCTCCCTATTCCCCATAGGCACACCACGATTTGGCACAAGATCTTCTCATCGGCACTTGTTACAACATCGACCCAGCTCCCAAACTTGAACCCACTAGCACCAAATGGCAGGTACACCGATGTTGGCACAAGATCTGCTGTGCTGCACAAAATCATTGAAGTACCCAGGGCCACATATTCTCTTTGACCGAGCATGCCACTGCGTTTGGATGTCACAAGTATCAAACCAAGCAATAAATAAACACGTTTATGACAACCAGTGTACCCCTGCGTCGTGTGCCCTCCAATGGACAAACAATCAATAAGAAGGTTTATGACTACAAATGGTAGGTTCATGTTGGTGAAATTCAGCGTGCCTATGCGTTTTGTGGTCTTACAATAAGCAATGATCCAATGGAATAATAATATCATATATATCTTTTATACAAACTTCCCCACGGCACACCGACCTGAGACAACTTCAGGGGAGCCGAGACAAGAAACAACATGAACCCAGTAACTGTATTAATTAACCTGAAAAGAATTTTGTTAATCACTGGATCCCCAGCTTTTCACTTTTGACCATACCCACGGGGACAAAAAATATGAATGCAGGTCATCAATCAGCGGTCTTGAAGTACGAGTCCGGGGGGTAACTTGCCCCAAAATCTATGAACTTACCCCACCGCATGGCACACCGCTTACCCCACGACCCCAAGAACTTACGCCATGTGCAAATCACCATGGCACACCGGCCCTCACGGACAGGTTTTTGGATTGGTTTGTTATTTTCCTAAGGGATTTGGTACATTTTACATCAGTTCGTGAATTCTTTGACCTCATCCCAAATGTCAAGGAATGCATGACACACCTACAAATTGTTTTCTATCAGCCCAAGTTCTCAGATGTAATTCCCATTGTCGGAACAACATATTTAATCTCTAAGAATGTCATCCATGATGGTTTTCCCCATTGGCACACCGAGTACATCCAAGTACTCGGGTAACAGTTTTCTTTTCTGCAGCCGATCACTTTGCCGATCCATGTATGTGCCCATTGTTTTCATGAAGTTCCTATGCGGACTGCAACGCTTTGTACCGTTTATCTGTCTTAAACCTGACACAAAGCGTTGTAAACCGCATGGCACACCATCAACTTGACCTCTAGAAGACCAGGACTTCTACATGTCATTCTCATTGAGTTATTTTTTACGAGATCCTTACGAGGTCTTTACGAGATCTGTACGAGATCTGGATTTTGCAAGGCAAGGCAGCAGGGATCTTTTCTATTCTTCCCTTCTCTGCTCTAGGCCTCTCTAATCACTTCTACTCTTCAATTCGATTCTCTTCTCTACTCTTCTGTACATAGTCTCTTCTACTCTACTCTTCTCTTCTACTGTTCTCTCTTCTGTGCGAGTCAAGCTATTGAGAATCCATCCCCATGAGTTTCTATCGCAAGAAGAATATGTCTCAAAAACATGTGTGCCCCTGTAAAGTGTTAGAAAAATCAATGCCACAAACAATTGATTCATCCAGCAAGAATGACATGTATATCATGGACTTCCCAACGGCACACGGTTTGCGGCACAAGAAGATGACCGCGGCATAAGTTACCACTTTGACCCAGTAATAAAAGCTTAACGAAAGGAATGCATGGCTATGATCAAACGATGGTTCCAAGCTGTTAGGAGTTCCAGTAGCTGTTGTCCTTTGGATCCCTGGGCAGTTTGCGGTTCCTATTGGTCGACGACATGTTGAGATTGGCCGAGGTGAAACTCCATGGGTTCCCTGCACTTCATTGACTTCATCAACAGTCACTTCACTATCTTCACTGAATGGCCCGCTACCCTCCTTGCACATTGTCACCTGGCAGGTCGGGGTGTGATTCGCCAAGGGGGGAACTAGTCCATCAGCAAGCACTAAAATGCACAAATCCAATACGAAATCAAGGTGGATTCTGCCAGGGTGGTGCCTGTTCTTAGGGGGAAGGGAAGTTAGAAGCTAGAAAAAAGTAGTGCAAAGTGGGAAAAAAAAAACTTGATGTACACAGGCATCGATGGGATATCAGTTATAATATGTTATAACATGTTATAACTTACGACTGGGTTTGCGGTGCCGAGGTCCCCGGATGGGACAAATTTTCCGGGATCGGCTCGGTGAAAAATATGAGTGAACCATCAAGCAGAATCAAGCAGACCAATCTTTATCCAGAAATGAATCACATGATGCACATGTTAGACTGACTTAGACTGTTAGAAGCCCACCAGTTTTCGGTGTTCAAACTTCTGCAGGGCATTCTTGGATTCTTTAGTCACCCCAGAACTTCCGCTGCTTCGCGCATTTTTGCAGCGCGGTGCGTCCAAGTCATTGAATGAATCATTGTCATCTGAGGGTCGACGTTCCAAGTGCTCAGCATGCCAATTCTTGGTGGTGCTGCTCATTTTGTGATCCATGCTTTCATGGGGTTCTTTCAAAAACCGTGGTCAGATGTTGTTGGTTCCCCCAAAAAAAAACAGGTAGCAGAGTCCCCTATGACACGCACCCAAGGATCAATCGAAGCTTTACCGGAAACCATGGTCTTTACATGTCTTTACCATCAAACATATGCGGGAAAACTGCGGGTTTTCCTTCCAACTCTGGGAAAGGATGGGTTTTGGTGCCTGGATCTTGGGTAGATCTGCTGATTTGGGCGGCATCACAAGCTGCGCGCCGTGCCGGGCACGTCGTCCTCTTCGTCCGAAGAGGGGAAGGCGCGCAGACCCGCAGCACGGAAGGGGTTGGTCCTGAAAGCCAGGCCCTGCGAAAAAACTGGGGGAAGTCAATGTGACGAATCACCAGAAACACGATGTGTTATGTCAAAACATACATGCCCAGGTATAAAATGGGATACAGGAAACTATGTAACATTATGTAACTACGTTCTCTGTCAGTTCATCCCTGTCCTCAAGCCCCGATCGGCTTCCCTAAGCTCTTCCTCAGTCTCTTCCTGACAAGGTGACTTTGTTTGATAAGGGAAGCGCCAAGTCAAATGCCATGAAACCTCAGAAAGTGCCTTCAATGCCTTCTCCCAGTGGAAAATTCAGCCTTCAAAAATTCCAAAATCATATTTTTGCAGGGGAAGCGACGAGGTTATTTTTGAGGAATTTACTTGATTGAAAGCCATGGTTTGGTTTACTCATGTCCTACCGACTTCACCTTAGGCCTTTGGCCAACTCTGGGGTGTCCATGACCCCTTCCAATTGGGGAGCTGCAAATGGACCCTCAATGAAGAATCGTGGCTAGAAAAATGCCAAGAGAATCCAATTCCCAAGGTTGAATACCGACATGTCAAAATATTTCTATGGCTCTGCCTGTGTGCATGTTCTATTGCTTACGTGTCTCAACATCACCATCTTGCTGCCTGAACACTTCATGTTTGCTGTTTTAAACCCTGTTTGAACGTCATTACAGCAGCTATGATGTTGAAAAAATCCCCGTCTGTGCCCACTTAGCTCCAATTCTTTGCTTAGATTTTGATTGAATGCTACATGTTCTTCCATCCCTGTATTCTCCCCGTAGTTTCCCTTTTTTCCCAACCGTTTGCCATGGAAAAAAAACAACGTGTTTCATGGCCCCCAAACAAGGCCTCAAAGCTGGGCATGGAGGATTCCTGGGGAGTCCGCTTGGCCAAGACGTTGGGCTCAAAGGGCCAGGAATCCTTGGCGCATCAGATATTAAATAAAAAAATGAAAAAAAAAAAAACATATTACTCTGACTATTAAATCATGAGTCATCATCATCTATAATCTATCACCGTTCATCACCCTTCATCATCACCTATCATCATGTATCACCCTTCATCATCACCTATCACCATATATCAACGTTCATCATCATCTTGCATCTATCACCGTTCATCATCGTCTATCATCATATATCGCCGTTCATCATCACCTATCATCTATCACAGTTCATCATCATCTATCATCTATCACCGTTCATCATCACCTATCATCTATCACCGTTCATCATCACCTATCGTCATATACCATTGTTCATCATCATCTAGCATCTATCACCGTTCATCATCATCTATCATCATACATCACCGTTCATCCTAACCTATCATCTATCACCGTTCATCATCACCTATCATCTATCACCGTTCATCATCATCTATCATCATATATCACCGTTCATCATCACCTATCATCTATCACCATTGATCATCATCTATCATCATATATCACCGTTCATCATCACCTATCATCTATCACCGTTCATCATCACCTATCATCTATCACCGTTCATCATCATCTATCATCTATCACCGTTCATCATCACCTATCATCTATCACCGTTCATCATCACCTATCATCTATCAACGTTCATCATCATCTATCATCTATCACATTTTATCATCATCTATCATATATTATCGTTCATCATCATCTATCATCATATATCACCGTTCATCATCCCCTATCATCTATCACCGTTCATCATCATCTATCATCTATCACCGTTCATCATCATCTATCATCTATTACCGTTCATCATCACCTATCATCTATCACCGTTCATCATCACCTATCATCTACCACAGTTCATCATCATCTATCATCGATCACCGTTCATCATCATCTATCATCTATCACAGTTCATCATCATCTATCATCGATCACCGTTCATCATCATCTATCATCTATCACCGTTCATCATCATCTATCATCATATATCACCGTCTATCATCATATCATCTATCACCGTTCATCATCATCTATCATCATATATCACCGTTCATCATCACCTATCATCTATCACCGTTCATCATCATCTATCATCATATATCACCGTTCATCATCACCTATCATCTATCACCGTTCATCATCATCTATCATCTATCACCGTTCATCATCACCTATCATCTATCACAGTTCATCATCATCTATCATCATATACCACCGTTCACCATCACCTATCATCTATCACCGTTCATCATCATCTATCATCATATACCACCGTTCATCATCACCTATCATCATATATCACCGTTCATCATTATCTATCGTCATATTTCACCGTTCATCATCATCTATCCTCATTTGTATTAAGAGTGTCAATGATGTGTATATATATATATTATGGGATGACTATTTAAACTTTTATATGCTATTGTAGTAACCATGGTGTTTGTAGTTTGGTAGGGAATTTCCATATATATATATATAGTTGGGACCATAGAATTGAGGGTGTTTCGATCTGTTTTGGGCTTTTAGTAAGAAAATGGTGACCCGTTTTTATTCATGTTCTGTCTTTTTGGTTTTCTTTGCGTGGTAACCATGCCAAGCATCGCAAACGTAGGGATTCGCCACTGCGGTTCCCACATCGAACATCTCCGCGCAGTCGTCTTCCTAAGCTCAGAGACTCAGTGGTCATCAATCCAGGATGAGGTGGTGTCGCATACTTACAGTCGCAGCTAAGTTGGTTATAACATGTTATTACTCCAATAACTAGGGTTTATGGTGGATACTCTATATATGTGTGTACTATCCATCGATGTAACAATGCATAATAATGCATATCTTTATAATATATATATATATATTATGTGTGTGTAACAGCCATCTATGTATACCTAACGGGGACTATAAACCAACAAACACTGTAACACAACTGGTGGCCCCAGCCTGAAGGTTTTCAGGTGTATAACCTCTGGTAATCAAACATGGCTAGCCGGGAAATTACCTATAAATGGTCATTGAAATTGGAAAATCATCTGTAACTGGTGGAATTGTCCATTGCCATGTTTAAAAAGAGCTACTGTAGGAATTTAAACGCACGTTTTCTCTTGATCAATTTAATGGAGTTCTCATCCAGTCTCTCTGTTCCCGATTTTTGTCCCTATCTGTTTAATGTGTTTGCTCCCATGTCTGTGGGTGAACCCGCACGGTACATACCCGCGTTACCTTGGTGAAATCCCACGTCTTTTTTGGTTTTGATCCCCAATGTCTGCGGGCTCAACCCCCTTCATTTGTGCTTGTCTTCAGATCGGGGGATACCCCAAGAAGTAGAAACCATGAAATTATCTGAGAACATTGTTCAAAACAACATACGCGTATTGCATCGTATTGCATACTAGTTGGCTTCCCATATCCAGAGACAAGCTCTCTCTGGGAGGTTTCCAGATTTTTTCCCAAACCTCCCAGCGGCATCGAGGTGCTAAGGTCTGCGGTTGATGCACCAGCGCAATCTCCCCCGCCTTGTGGCGCGAGACAAAGCGCCGGCCGCCGGCAGCGGCGATGCGTTCGCTTTGGAGGTAGAAGGCCCGCTGCTGACGCGCGATCTGCCTGGGGTAGGAGATACGGGTATAGATTTGACAGTATAGCATAGTATAGCTAGGAGCAATTTAGATGGCGTCACATATGTTCATGTTATACACTGGATTCAAATGGTATCAACAGATATGGGCAGTGTCTTACATGTTCCTTTCCTGCACTCCAGCGATTTGTTTGACGTGCTTGGATGTGCTTGGTGGATTCAACCAGTGACAAAGATATGAAAGCAGTATTCCCAAACCTGAAGTATTCCTCGTGGTTCCCCTAATCAATGCTAACATGATGATGTCGGTCAGTGAGGTCGTCACAATGTTCCCAGACCCATACCACACCGGTTATTTGCTCACAAAAACTTGCTGGTTTGTCACTTCGCTTTCAGACTTGTAAAGTAATTGGATCTAAGCAGAGACTTCATGCCATTCACTTTGCAAACCCTGGGGCCCTCAAAAACCCTTGCAAATTGCTGTTCGAGGGGAGTAAAAGCAGGCATTTGTGTTGTGTATTCAGACTTCATCCCAGAAAAGGAAAAGCATAGAAAGGTTCATGATCATCACAATGGCCCAGAACCCCTCTATTTGAGGGGCGCGTTTTTTTCCACAGCAGCACGCTGCTAAGGAGCTGATAGAACTTGGCTTGCTCCTTCTGCTGAATGGTGTCCTTGGATAGGAATGGACAGGGAATTCATCCCTGAAGGCCTTAAGGATCTAGGGCGCTTCGGTGCTTCACGAAGTGTGAGGGCTTGGGCCAAACAAAACCAGCTCCATGTCCGGAAGGATATCAACATGTACAGTAGGTCATATGATGCATATACATTCATTTATTCATTTAAACATGTATCAAGTACCCGGGCTTCTGAAAGGCTCCGCTAAGTCTTAATTTTGAGCCCCAGGTAGGTTAATGGTGGAACAATGTGACAACAATAATAACCATAGGTACAACAATATATGACAACATGACATATCCAGACCCCTCTTATTGAAAACAGTCCAGCTAGGCATTTCTAGCAGCTAATCTCGCAGCAAATGTTGCATAGTCGCAGCTGGGTCCGAGCATCTTTGGCCATCCGTTCGACCCTCTCTTTCCTCTTCGAGAGGTGAAATTTGCCTGGTGGAGCTTGAGCCAAGCACTTGAATGAAGGGGTCGGTGATGGTCGGTGATGGTCGGTGATGGTCGGTGGCCTATCCAACATGGAAAGAAAATCGGGGATTGAAAGAAAATGAACCTGATATGCTTTAGGTTCGGAAACCTCTGGCGTTTCCTTTGCAAGCGGCTCATGAAATTGGCAGCCACACAGGGCCAATTTCAGCACCCCAAAATCAACCCATCCATGTGCCGATGAAGACAGAGTCCCTTCTCCGATAGCCATGATCTCTCAACGGCTCCATCCCCCAAATCCCCATCCACATCCCAGCGAGGCGCAAATCTCCAGCAACTTGTTGGGATTCGAGATCATCTCTTCCAACTTTGCTTGGGCCACCTTGGCTAAGACTTCCTTCTCCTCCTTTGCCTCTTCACAAACCTTCAGCTGCTCTTCCAGGTGATTGATCTGTTTACCTAGGCAAAGTGGTTAGGATGGTTGGGGCTTGGGGGTTGAGGCTGGAATATGTGGATATACCTAAACTTGAAGGAGTTTGAACTGGGAACCCATGAAAGCTGGCTCACAGGGCCATGTACATCATGTACCCACCTCGTCCCAGGGACTGCGGGAGGCTAAGGATTGATCGAGACTGGAGAGGGTCGAGCGCAAAGTGGTCCCCTCCATCACCAAGCCCTCGTCCTTCTCGGGCGGGTCAGCGCGGTTGATCTGCTTGTCCGAAGGGCCATAGCCTAAACGCGACCAACAAACCCAGGAGGCAATAGGTATCAACAAGCAAAACGGCAAAACCATGGAAATGACCTACCACTTCTTTAAGTTCACCATAAAAGTGGATCATACTTCACCAGCCCCATTTGTTTTTTCTTGACTTTTGACTATGTTGGAAGATCGTCTCCAAGCACGCTGGAAATACATTAAATACATTAAAATACCCCATTTGGGTATAGGTCAAATTTTAAGACCGCAGATTTTAGACTATTTTTTGCATTAACCATCTGATTCTTGGATACCTCATTTTGACCCATACCCAATTTGTTTAAAGAAAAAGTCCCGGCTGTTGCTGATACCTCCCAACGGAATGCTGGAGGAAACAGCATTCAGAACTGACCAGTTCTATGGCCTTAGCGAAGGGACCATTCTTTCCTCAAAAATGGCCAGGTATTACAGCAGTCAGATTGTTTTCCGGCGGAGTCTTCATGCGTTGTGGTTGTGGTGGAACAAGAGTTATACATGGTTGCAGATTCAAAGCCTATCCAGACTCTGAATCCAGACTTATCAAGACTTCCCCTCTCATTGCGTGGCTCCAAAATCGCTTGACCTTGGTCTTGGGCAACGGAAAGAGTCATCCAGGGTCATCTGGCTATGTATCAAAACCCTGACAAACCACTCATCTGGCTATGGATATCATGAAATATGTTGAAAAATCTTGGAATAGTGGTGTAACAGTGGTGTACATACACATATACAGGCGCGCAAACACACAAATATGTATTATATATATATATGTACACGTGTGTGTATACAGGTGGATAGATAGATCCATCCCCTTTACAAAAATATATATATATGTATAATATATACTATACACATGTATTTGCATTTATCTACAGTGATATACAGTTATATCATGTTATACATATATATATATAGATTTTATTTATTTATGTATTTTAAAAAAATACCCATGTCTGTATTAAGGTGTCTCAATTATTCAATCCTTCGTCCATTCGTCCACCAAGTGGCTCTTGATGGGCGCCTCCACACACCTCTTGGCCCTTCGCAGGGCTCGAGCTACGCCATGACACAACGCCTTGGTGTCGGGCCCCTCGATGGCCTCGGTGTCCCCCGCGGGAGCGACCGCGACCGCGGCGTGGTGTTCCACACCTCGCTGGCGGTTTCAATCGATTGGGTTAGGGGGAAAAAATCTGCGTGAAAAAATTGCAAAAAAAAAAACTAATATAAAAAAATAGGGTTTTCCTGCAAATTTCCCCCCTTAAAACAAAATTCTGGGACTAGGAACGCAAGTGCGCTCCATATGATCACTCCCATTTTATGGCTGGTAAAATGGAAAACCCAAGCCAAAAACAAAGGATTTACCAGCAATCAAGTATATAGATGAAAACCAACAATGTGTGGGGGTGTAACCCTATAACCTGCCAAAAATGTGGTGAACCCAATCATGATTCACCCGCAATTTCATTCTTGGGTTTGCCAGATTCAACCGTAGATAATCTTAGAAAATGAACAAGATGTTGCCAAAAAAAAACAAAGTATCCAAGTATCCAACATGCAATATCTATCAATCTTTGACACTTTGGGGTGCCAGGGCCCCGGTCGGCACCATCCTTGGCAGGTGGCCGTTGGGAATCGCCTCTACCTGCAGTGAGTTGCACAAGGCCTCCACTTCTTCCTGGTGGCCGGTTCACGACCCAGCTGATCCATAGAAGTTATATGTCAGTATCGCTGTGTGCATTAATATGTGTGATATATATTGATATATGACATATTGATACATATTGTAAATATGATAATATGTAATATTGTTGTTGGTTACAGTATATGCGTATGTGTATATATATATATATGTATATATAGATGTGTGTGTGGGGTGGGGCGTGAATGTTTGCGCATGGTAAGGTATGCGTGCGATAGAAAATCCCAACAACAATATAAATTGGGCCATTAATGGTGAGGGGGAAGCACCCTACAAAAAAAACAAAGCCAGCAATCTGATGTGGATCCCTCGAAATCCCAGTTTTGCCAATAGGAGAAATCATTCAGCGGAGTTTTCCAGCACGCGGATATGGAATCTCTAGATACACACACACACACATATCATCGAAGGAAGTTTAGAAGTCAAACTTCCGACAATATGGACAGTTGAAAAGCAGAGGTGAGAAGAGTCAGAAGAGACAAGATCAGAAGAAAGAAGATGCAGATGCGCGAAAAGGTAGGAAAGTCGCGATTCACTGTGTTTTTCCAATGATTTGTGGCTCCGGAAAGTAGGCTCGCTAAAGCGGCGGGTGCGGAGCCAGCTGGCCAGATGAGACATGAAAAAGTGCACGCCGTTGTGGCGCGAAGCACATTTCCAAGTCAAAATGGACAAAACACTAGAGGAGCGGACCACTTTTGGAAGTTGAGATGTCGAAAAAGTGCACGCCGTTGTGGCGCGAAGCACATTTCCAAGTCAAAATGTACAAAACACACCAGGTTCGGACCACTTTTGGAAGTCGAGATGTTGAAAAAGTGCACGCCGTTCTGGCGCGAAGCACATTTCCAAGTCAAAATGTACAAAACACCGCAACCTCGGACCACTTTTGGAAGTTGAGATGTTGAAAAAGTGCACGCCGTTGTGGCGCGAAGCACATTTCCAAGTCAAAATGTTAAAAACACTAGGGGTTTGGACCACTTTTGGAGGTTCAGATGTCGAAAAAGTGTCGAAAAAGTGCACGCCGTTGTGGCGCGAAGCACATTTCGAAGTCAAAAGTGTAAAAAACTGAGGGTTTTGAGGCTTTTTTGACGTGAAGATGTCGAAAAAGTAGACACTGATTAACTGAACTAACTTCACTAACTCAACTACCCTAACCTCGACGACAACAGCAACAGCAACAACAACAACAACAACAACAACAACAACCACAACAACAACAACAGCAACAACAACAACAACAACAACAACAACAACAACAGCCACAGCCACAGCAACAACAACAACTACTACAACTACAACTACAACTACAACTAGAACTAGAACTAGAACTAGAACTAGAACAACTACAGCTACAACAACAACAACAACTACACCTACAGCTACAACTACAACAACAACAACAACTACAACTACAACAACAACAACTACAACTACAACTACGACAACTACAACTACAACTACAAAACAACTACAGCTACAACTATATGACTGCAACTACACTACACTAATTACATTACACCACAACTGCAACTCCACTACGCTACAACTACAACTACAGTTGCAGTACATCACACTACATCCAGCAGTTGTGGGTCAGGTGACCACTGCAACCATTGCAACCATTCCAGCAAACACAACTCCAACCACCTTTCGGTCAATCAGTGGCTTCGCTCTGCCATCCCTGATTCGCAACAACCAACTTCTCCTATAGGTTTCCTATTTTTGAAACTTCCGCCACCGCCTTGTGCGGTACTACTGGTATATATATATATATAATGGGCCGTGATATAGGATAAATATGATCTGGTGAATTACAGCTGTTGACAGTGTTAACCTATTAGATCCCGTTGGTACATATTAGTACAGTATCTATTGTTATGTTCGTATTTCCGGAGCTTCCCAAAGGGTCTTTTAGTGTTCTGCACCACTAACCCGCTGGAGAAACAAAACACAAAATCTGAATCTTACACAATCGAAAACCCAGCAAAGTGGTGACCCAACTGGATATCTGGAGGCATCACTCAAATGTTCCCCAGCAAAACTGGGGATCTTCCAGATGTCACGGCATGTCACCATCACGAAACCTCCGCCGAGCTTCCCGCAGGTGTTTCAAGCGGTTCTGCATGCTGCTTCGAAGGACATCATCAAACTCCGCCTCGGGCAGACCCAGCACAACGCGGGTTGTGCTAGCTGTTGAACCATGATTTCTAAAACCAGAACACATTCAAATCCTGAGATCCTTTGGCACCAAGTGATACCAAGTGTGCCGATATGTGCCGATTGTTTTGTGGAAGAATGGGCACGCACAATGGACACCTCAGTCTTAGTGTTTCATTTTGTTCATCAACCAGCGGGAAAAAGGAGACCGTGCCTGTGGGAGACTCCCCTTCGTGGAGTCTACATCCACAAACCAAAAGCAAATGATCATCCCGGGTGGGTGGGAAATCAACAAGAATGAAACCACCACCACAACCACAACCAGTCTACGCTAGTCACGCTAGTCGAAATGACCCTAAGCAGTTCGATACCATCCTACCGTTGCAAGCCCCACCGGGCCCCCACCGGGCCCCCAACGGGCCCCCAACGGGCCCCCACCCATCCCACCTTCAAACGTCGGTGGAGTTGTGACGGTCCCAGGGCTCCATCCTCCCCGTCCGCCATCACTGAAATCTTGTACGATTCACCATTGGTTCTACTTCGGTGCTGCAGGATGTTGCGGGAACGCCCTAAGAGATTCAACATTTTTGTTGGCTTAAAAAGCTGCTTGGAAGACAGCTGCTTGTGGATCAAGAGCGTTTTGCGGAGCTTTAACATGCCAATCTTCCTTGGTGTTTGATGCTCAGCAGCAAGGCCCCTGTACCAGGGGACCATCATCAACCCCCATCATGCCACGTCCTCCGTTCCAGGGGAAAGTCGTCAAACAAAGGGCGTCAGCCAGTATTTCCAGGCGAGGTTTTTCGAATGATGATTTCAGCATGGAATTCTGCTAACAACTGCCACTGGGATCCACTGGGTGCTTGGCATTGCTACCCCCCGGGTGCGATCCCACCTGCCATCCTCAAACATCCCCCTTTTCTTTGCCGCTGCTCTCGAGGAGTTTTTCTCAAAAAAAAACATGCACTTTGGGGTCAAAATTGGGAACCAATGCCAACCCGCTTCGTTTCATTTTCTTGTCTCCTTTGAAGAGCATGTTCGATTAATTATGATAAATCCGAGTTGACTTTGACCAGTTACTACCCAGTTACTAAGCATTCAAGTCAGGCCCTTTCCTTTGTTGATGTATGGAATCATTGTGCTTGCCATAGCACAGCACTCGACATGCCAAGAGTTGTCGTGAAACAAAGGTGGAAAAAAAGGAAACACCTGCAAAAAAGTTGTTGTTGTTTCAACTAAAAATCTTCCAACTCTGGTGTCCATGTTGCCCCCGCTTCAATTTTGACCCGTCTGTGTCGAACATCCATTCGGATCCACACATAGATGGACACAAAGTGAGGGGCACATGTTTGACTCAATGTTCTCTATTCCTAGTCGAGTCAAAGAGATTGCCCGTTTCAAAATCTGCAGCACCTCAACCTGAGAATCTGCCAATCATTCCAACTCCACCTACCTATGCAGAGTAGGAACCCAAAGCTACAGCTTTAGGCGAGAATCATTGACAAAACTCAGCAATCCTCTTGCCCCGGTCCATCCTACTTACCAAAGGTGCAGCCTCCGCTGCAGTTTCGACGACTTATGCCATGGTCAAAACATGGTACTGATGCCATGGTCATGATCGGATACCGCTCAAGGCCCCTGTCGCTTCTCACACATTTGTGAAGTGACGGCGGGCTACATGCGCACCTTTCCTACCATCTTTTGACCCTTTCTCAAGGCCCTTGCTGCTGCACTATTGTCACAGCTGCAGGGACCAGGGAAAAAATCTAGCACAGTGGAAGGAGCTATTGGACGAATACGGTGCTTGCCTGCACTTACCAATCTGCAACTCCGAGATGTTTCCCGTTTGGTGAAAGCCTGGTGAAAGCCTGATGTAGCCCCTTCCCCCTTTTGATCAGGTATCTAACTGGTGGAACCTGTCCCCCTATTGGGGTTTCTTTAAATTATTGCCATGATGCCTCTCAACCATTGGATGTCCATGCCATGCCGAATTGGCGCGTTAATGACATGTACACCGAAACGTTGTTCATGGCTCGAACATATCCATATGCATGTGCCATAGCATGCGCCCATGAATCTGTATGCACACGCAACAATTGTGTTTGCACAAATACATGTGCGAGCACGTGCACAAATACAAATACATGTGCGTCTCACACATGTATAATTAATATACATATTAGATGTGTGTGTGTATGTGTTTGCGTGGTTGTACGTATCTGTTTGCATGTGTATAGATATAGACTTATGTGTGTATATATACATATGTGTGTGTGTAATACAATGTAATGCAATACAATGCAATGGAATGGAATGTAATGTAACGTATGTATGTATATATAGACATATTTGCCTATATTGGTATAAAGGCAATAAGAGATGAAAATGCCAAATAATCAGATGTAGACATAGATGTCAATCCGCCGACCTGCCCTCCTGCTTTGCACAGTTTCCGGTCAGTTTCAACTTGAATAAACAGTTGAAATTGTCCTTTACAGATCTTATAGCTTTAGTTTGTTCTATCTAGGGTCTAGGGCCTAGGGTCTAGAGTTTTGGCGTCGTCTATGTGTAGTTTTAGTCTGTTGTTTGGTTTGTTCTAGTTTTAGATTGTGTTCAGGTTGCAGCTGTAGTTTTAATTTGTTCGGTAAAATTGCAAGATAAGACAATTTGAACTAAGGTTTAAATCAGAACTCAATAGAATTCAATAAAACGGTATGGAGAGAAACAAAAATGAATTGGGGCTAGAATGAAAATGAAAGAAAAACTTGCAGCAAGAAACAGGATAAAAAAAAATTGAAATTTAATATTTGTATTAGGGGCTTAGGGGTCGAGTTTTAAAAGATGTGCTAAATTTATGTGACGATTAAAGTTGAATTTGGGGAAAAAAACTAAGATCAGGATAGAAACGAAAATTAGGAGGTGAATTAGGATAAAGCAACTCTTAAGAAAAGAATAAGAGGCAGGATATAAAATAGAAGAATGAAAATTAAGATAGAAAAGGAATTAGGATTATGATTATAGATAACCGAACAAGAATGAAGATTGGAAACAAAAAAAGACTGTTAAAATTACTTTACTTCGAGTTATCCCCACCGTGACATTTATACGTTTTGTTACTGGCAAATCTTCTGGCATTCTCTCTGACATATCTTCTGGCATTTTATCTAGCATATCTTCTGGCATTCTATCTGGCATATCTTCTGGCATTCTACCTGGCATATCGTCTGCAATATGTTCTGGCATATCTTCTGGCACTCTATCTGGCATATCTTCTGGCATATCTTCTGACATTCTATCTGGCATTCTATCTGGCAAATCTTCTGGCATTCTATCTGGCAAACATTCTGGCACTTTATCTGGCATACCTTCTGGCATTCTATCTGGCATATCTTGCGGCATTCTATCTGGCATATCTTCTGGCATTCTATCTGGCATATCTCATGGCATTTTATCTGGCATATCATCTGGCATTCTATCTGGCATATCTTCTGGCATATCATCTGGCAAATCTTCTGGCATTCTATCTGGCAAACATTCTGGCACTTTATCTGGCACACCTTCTGGCATTCTATCTGACATTTTATCTGGCATTCTATCTGGCATACCTTCTGGCATTCTATCTGGCATATCTTCTGGCATTCTATCTGGCATATCTTCTGGCATTCTATCTGGCATATCTCATGGCATTTTATCTGGCATATCTTCTGGCATTCTATCTGACATTCTATCTGGCATCTCTTCTGGCATTCTATCTGGCCGTTGAGGTCCAGCGGTGCACACTGAGCTGGGCAGGTCCCAGGTTGAGGTCCAGCGGTGCACACTGAGCTGGGAAGGTCCCAGGTTGAGGTCCAGCGGTGCACACTGAGCTGGGAAGGTCGTGGGTTGAGGTCCGGCAGTGCGCACTGAGCTCGGAAGTTGGCGAAGAGCTTGGCGAAGAGTTGGCAAGGCGGAAGTAGAGGTGGAAGTTGATGCAGACATTGTCGAGGAGAAACTGGAGGAGGAGGCGGAGGAGGAGGAGGAGGACGAAGCGGAGGAGGAGGCGGAGGAGGAGGAGGAGAAGAGCTAGCCGAGGAGCAGGAGAAGAACAACTCTGATAAAATCTAACAACCCTCACCTGGCAGGTGGGGAATAACTGGGAATGAAGATCAAAATAGAATGAACAATGAAGATTAATGAAGATTAATGAAGATTAATGAAGATTAATGAAGATTAATGAAGATTACGATAGAACAAGGTTTTTAAGCTTAGTTTTAAAAGAAAAAAAAGTAGGCTATGAAATCCGGAAAAGAGTAGAATGAGAATAGAAAACGTCGGCTTCTTGCATTGAAAATTGCGCCTCCCTGGCCCACCTCACCCACGCACTCTCCCTCCACCCCTGGCTCGACTCCTGCGTTTTGCTTGCGTCTTTCCTTGGTTTTCGCTGCCTTTCGCCCTCATTTTTCACCAACAAGCTTTTCCACCGAAGAAGTTTTTGCACCAACAGGTTTTTGCACCAGGAAGTTTTCACACCAAGATGTTTTTTAACCAAAGGGCTTGTACACCAACGAACTTACAGACATGTTTTTGCACCAACATGATCCAACAAGCCTTTACACCCAACATTTGTTTGCTCCGAAACGCTTATACACCAACAAATTTTACAAGTGTTCACCAAAAAAATGCGTCAGCAAGGATTTACACCAAAACGTTTTTGCTTCTACAGTTTTTGCTTGGCCAGCAGCCATTAAACCACTGGGCCAGAGGCACGCACAATTTAGAGATACTGTAAACATATGAATAACAAATATTATATATATATACGTACGTATACATAATAATGTATATTATTTACATGTGTCCATTTAGATATGTACTGCATAATTTCACTCTCTCCCCTGCGCAGTCGCCAACACCATCCACTAGCTGATTATTAGTGCGATGTCAATCTGCTTGGCAGAATTTCACCCGTGAGTTAAGATACAGAAGTGGAGGAATGACAGAGTTGTCCATAAGATCAACGCAAATTAATCCGTTCTGATTGATTTTTGATTGGCTCCTATGGTTTTCCATGATTTTTCCATTGTTTTTCCGCGGTTTCTCCAGGTTTCTCCACTTCCACAGTCTCCACGGCACCAATTGGCACCTTCGCCCATCACAGCATGCTACTCACCACTTGAACCGGGCGGGGGCCTCGAAACCTGGGTGCCAATGGTGTCGATTGCTCCTTTGTTTCGTTTGTTGGGTCAACTGGTACACATGGCGCGAAAAAAACAGTAAAGTTGGATTAAAAAACTAGGAAAAAAATGTGATTTGTGTAAGAATCTTGCCTGAACCCTCCACATACTTGATATATCTTGTTATGATAGAATGATAACTTCACATCAAATATGGAAGGTTTGGGCTTGGGGATGGATCAAAACAAAAACCCATATGTGGGTCCATAAATCCCAGCTATGTGTGAACAGAAGGGCACCAGGGTTTTGAATGGTTTTGACCCATATTCATGTGAGCCAGGGTAAAATAGTATGTGGGGTATGGTCCGTATGGTCATATTTGACATTGGAAATTGTTTGATCGTGGGTTTACCATATTACAAATACAAACCGAAAAGATCGAGAGACAGAGACGGAGACCGAGAGAGAAAGAGAGAGAGAGAGAGAGAGACAGAGACAGAGACAGAGACAAAGAGAGACGAGACACGCGACAGAGACAGAGACAAAAAGAGAAAGAGAGAGAGAGAGAGAGAACAGAGAGAGAGGGGGAGAGAGAGAGAGAGAGAGAGATGGAGACAACAGAGAGACAACAGAGAGACAACAGAGAGACAACAGAGAGACAACAGAGAGAGAGAGAGAGAGACCGTATATGCACACATGACATATACCACATAACTACATAAATATGAAATATGCATATGCAGACACACACACAGAGATGTGCATATCAATATTAATATGCATGTGTATATTATACATATATATAATGTGTATACAGTATATACACACCTACGTTTGTGTGTGCGTTCAAATGTAAATATACATTCAACAACATCTCTCTCTACCTCTCGCACCAGGGCCATCAGAAAAGTCCCTTAAATCGACTCATATCATATCTCTGCGAAGGCAATCGTGATCGCGATCCTAAAATTTCAACAATTTGGCCATAAATTACACGGCATGCTTGAGAATTTTCCGAAGCACATTCTATTTCCCAGGTCTCTTCTTCACTCTGAACAACGCTCCAGGAAGGCAAAATTCTTGCCTCCACAGCAACTGCACCCCATGGTTAGACCCTTTCGAAGTTTCAAGAAGCCAAGCCACAGCTTCTTCAACTGATTCAAGGGCTGCTTTACTTCCGCCATATCCTTCGTAAGTCGACTGATTCTCTGCCCTTAGTTAGCACATGCGGCCGCAAACTAATTCACTGATGGCCAAATGTTGGCTCCACATCACGTGCAGCGGCTGTTCACTGGAATTCTGGAAGGCCCCTTGCCCCAAGAACGGTTAGACGAGGTGTAAACGTGCGCCCGCCTCACAAGTCACCAGCTTCAAATTTTTGTCTTGGACGTCCACTTCAAGTTCTGGGAAGGCATCCTGGATGTCTATCCAAGTTGCTTGGTCAATGTCTATAAGAGGCAAGAGATGGCAAAAGCCTGCAAGACAGTCTTGGCACCCCACCCCAACCCACCCCAGAGCAAGTTGCAGCGTAGCATCAATAAAAAACGGCCGCAAACAGAAGCCCCTTGATCCCACAGGCACGAAGCCCTCAAAAATCGAAGAGGAAACGAGGTGTAAAAGCGGGATTTACAAACGACAAGTTTCGCGTTGTCACCCCGTCCGAGGGAACAACAAGGCTTTTCGGATCTTGTGACAAGGCTTCAACCACTAATTCGATGGATTGGTCTATGGGAAATCTTGCTGGAAACCATGGTTTGCATCCTCAGGGTTTCGTACAGATTTTCCCTGACGTACTGCAAACCAATTGCGGGACTAATTCATGGCATATTTTGGGCCTGGGAGCATTTCGTCTCCAGAAACTCCCAAGCGGCGCCAGTATCATGTCGAGGTGCTGGTGAGTTTGTTTTCATAACCTCACATGGGCATGGCATCAGGGGCACTGTCAAGACAATCATAGCCATTCCTCAAACCTGTGGAAAGCTCACAAACATTTGCAGCCTACCAGCCACGGAAGTCACACAAGCAATACCACGAGTATCAAGCAAAAATAAGGATAGCCGTGTTCAAAATTCTGTTTGATCTCCTGACCGGGAATTCAAAGCTTACGTAGGAACTTACGATCGCTTACGTTTTCCAAGGTTTTGCTTACGACGCAAGAACTTCAAAGAACTAGCTTACGCATCTCTTACGGCAAAACAGCATAGGGGATATGTAATGATTCTGATATGTAAACCTTGGGAAAGCCAGAAGCCTTGGCTAACGCCAGGTGGAAGGCTGACCTGAGGGGAAGGTTTGCGTAGCCGGCCCACCACTGGGGACTGGGGATGGGGGGCTTGGCAGCCGGGGGTGAAAAGGAGATTTCTCACACAAGAACCTGCAAGTTGCCGCAGCGGGGAGTGGGAAAGGATGTGCACGGCCCTTAAGGTGCACGCGTCACATGGGTAGAGGCAGCCTTGAGCTCACTTGTATGGGTGGGTAGAGAAAACCTAAACGTAGATTCACTTGCAAAGGATTGCAAAGGAACCACAATGGGCCAGGGGTCAGTGAGTGCAACATTCGCTTACGACTAGCTTACGGATTGCTTGCGCCGAGCTTACGGCAAATTCCGATCTCATTTTAAAAAAAGAACCTAGGGAAGAAAGTAGCATTCGTTCTGGTCTGTTTTCCCTACATGCAATGGCATCATCATCATCGTCATCATCATCATCATTATCAACAACAACAACAACAACAACAACAACAACAACAACAACAACAACAACAACAACAACAACAACAACAACAACAACAACAACAACAACAACAACAACAACATTCAATAACATTCAATAACATTCAATAACATTCAATAACATGCACCAAACAAAGCACACAAGCTTATTTGAACCCCAGCTCGCATGGCCCGGCATCGACTTCCGAATGGCTTACGGCAACATTTTTGTGACCAATGCTTACGTCAAACCTTTCGCACTGCTTACGAAACCCAAGGAAAGTCTTACGACTTATTGGAATTTATGCCAGCCCAATACTAAACAAACAAAGGGGAATTTAGAACCCTGCTCAAGTGCCTTCCTTCCTCACATCCTTACTTCGGACTTTCTTGTTGTCTTACTTGCTCAATTAATTTCCTTCTCTTACCGTTGGACCTATTCTTCCCAGTAAGTCCCCCACCCCGGCTTTGATGCAACCACCTCAGTACGCCTTAGCACCCCAAATTCACCCACCGAGCGACTCATTTTGGCAACCTGCAAGCTCTGCGCAGGGCCCCTCAGCTGCATACATCCGCTAACAAACTCCTCAATATCTACACGGCCGCTGGCGTCCACATCGATCAGAAGGAAGAGAGTCCAAACGTCATCCTGGGCCAAAAGGGGTGGCTGACCTTGCATCCAAGGAGTCCTCTTTCAATCAGGGTTTTCCTAAAAGAGAGGTCTCCTTTCGTTCATCAGGCCACACTGGCCGTTTTGAACCTAATGACTCATGACTTCGGAAAGAACAGCTGCACACTTGCGCAACTTCGTCACCAAAAAAACAGCGCAAAGCACCAAAGCACCAAGCATTCTCCAAGCAACTGTTGAAATGCCGAGGGATTCCATAAAACTACCTGCCACGCGACACAGCGCAACACACTGCCCTATTCATCTGCCACAGGGGTGTCTTCCAGCAACTCATCCGCAAAAAATGACTTGCAAAGGGTGAAGTTCAAACGATGTAAAAAAAACTCCGCAGTGGACTCAACAGTCAGCAGGCACCAACGAAAAAATGCCAAAGAACCCAACTTGTCTTGGTGCAATGCATCTTCCAAGTCGTGGAAGTTCAAGGTATTGCTCCGCTCGCTGGCTATTTCCTGCTTTCAGCTCTGGTCAACCAAAGAGAAAATACACAGCAGATCTTCCCCAACCCCACACCACCGAAAACATACTGAAAACCTTGATGTCCTGATCAACCATGTACCTCTGGCTAACCTGTTGTTGAAACACGTTTCTGCCTGGCAATTCTCATGCCGCTGAAAATCTATGACAAATGTCGAGGCAAGGGGGTCGTGGATTTTTTTTCTGGTGTCGCTGCTCCAGGAAGACACTTGAGCATCACAGTGACTCCTTGTTTTCTGCTCATCAGGTTAAAGTGGTAAACTAGGGTTTGCCAGATAATTCAGGTGTCCAACTTTGACATGGGTATGGAAGGTGCTGCTTGAGGGTGCTGTCGAGCTAGCCTGCTGGTGCTGCTGCAAGGGGTGATGCTTCAGGGTGCTGCAAGGAGGGTACGTACTGTACCCAACTCGTGCTGCAAGGGTGCTAGTGAAGGGTGCTGCTGCACGCTGCAGGGTGCAGCTGTTAGAGTGGCGTGTCCGCTCTGGAGCTGGCTGGTGGTGCCGCTGCAGGGTGCTGCTTCAAGGTGCTGCAGTTAAAGTGGCGTGTGCGCTTTGGAGTTGGCATGTTGGTGCCATTGCAGGATGCCGCTGCAGGGTGCTGTTGTCGGATTTTGCTCAGAAGCAGCAGGAGGCGTAGTGCAGCCCGTGGCGAATGGTTGCAAAGAAAAGAGCTCACAAAACACAAGTTCTGATCTTGCAAATGTGCCAAGGTTCAGAATTGGGAAGTTTGAGGTATGATTCGGGCATGATTCGGGGTATGATTCGGAAACCTATTTTCTTTGAATTCAGGAAGCTTTGTTGCTTGAGTCTCTCTTTCCCACCGTCAACCTACTACGATTGCTACTTAATGGCTGCAATGGCTCGACCTGCCAGACGACCTTGGACAGGACCTGAATATGAAGAATGTGAAGATCTAAATGCACATCTATGATTTATATCCGCCGGCCTGCCGGCTGGATGTTCTTCTCATGTACCTTTAGCTCAGCTACGCTTAGGCTTTTGTTACCAGAAGCAGCAACTGAGCCAGCCACCTAGCCAGCCAGCCAGCCACCCAGAGCCAGCCAGCTTAGGGATAATGATGAGACTCTGTGCGCGTGGAGAGGATTCGCCACTCCGTGAAGGTATGTGAAGGTAGCCAGGGATCATCGGGTCTGGCCAACACTGGTCAATTAGCTTGTCAGGTCAATTAAAACTAATGAGGCCAATGCAATCCCAAACGATCCCAAAAGAAACATTCATAATCGTGATTTTTTGGGGTATGATTCGGGGGTATGATTCGGGGGTATGATTCGGGGGATGATTCGGGGGTATGATTCGCACAAATCGAACTTCCTGCCTTTACTAAAAACTGCACGCATTAAAAAAAGACACAGCCACATGTGCTCTCCTTCTTGCTAATGTCACACACTTCCAACGGCAAAAACCGTGTTTCCCCCCTTAACCTGTTGTGGGCCACACGTCCTGAAAGACATCCCGGAGAGCTGCAATTTGAGACAGCCGGAACTGCGCCTGCCTCGGTGCTGCCGGGTTGTGCACACAGCTCCCAGACTCCCAAAACATCCACAGCTGGCCAAAATCAATCTCGAGCTGTGTCCAGGCACTTGAGGGTGGCCATGTCCTTGTCAGCTGAAGCCCCTTCGATGGCGGTGTTGACGAACCTAGGTTCGGCGGGGCAGGGGGGCTCGGGATCAACTGGGGACGGGTTTGGTTCCCCAGCTTTGAACAGCCGAGACGCACTCCCGTCACTACCTCGGTAGAAGAACTCGGATGGTCACTGGCAAAGCTGATTCAGAAGCTGGTCTGCCTTCAACCCCCTGAAATACATTGGACATGTTTAGATTATTGAGACATTGTGGAGTAGTCGAAGAACTGTGATATCTGAAACCACCAACCTGTTGTGCACGTTCTTGCTAACCTGCCTCTCGACATTGACTCGGTGTTTTTTTAACTTTCAGCTCCGGAATCCTTCCAAGCCACGTTGAGGATCGTAAAGAAACCAATCACGATGAACAGGTTCCTAGCTGGCGGCGCCATCCGACAAGACAGCCCTTTGCATGCCATTCGCATTCATCTTCCCAGCATCTTTCCAGTATCTGCCCATGATCTCCTAATGCTCTTGGTGCAAAGATCCAAGCAATACGAATTTCCCAGATCTTCTGAGAAACACGTCTTGGTTGCTGGGTTTGCTCACCCCCCTAACTTTTGCCAGCCGCTGCATATCCTCGCCCCCTCGAAATCCAAGAAGCATGAGCCACAGGGCCATCAGGGAAACCTTCCGTAAGGGTGCGTAGGCATCAAACCAGTTGAGACCACCCGTGATGGCCATAAAGAGCGTGTGCATGCTATCCATCACCTTCCGGCGAGGCGATGCTTCACGAAAACGAAAACTGCAGGTGGATGAGGATATGGAATTCATATGAATTATATAATGATTTTCTGTGGGTCAAATAATTTGGATTTTGTTATCTATCTCCATCTAAGCCGCGTGGCATTGGCCCAATAGTGTAGGTCCTCTGGGCACTTGGGGATGGCATTGGCATCTCCCGAATCGCGGATGGTTTCGAAGCGACAATAGTCCGTAACCAGCTGTGCGAAGATAACCGCCTTGGTAGTCGGGCCCCCCCCCCGGTTTCACAGGGTGATGAAGCATGTGTGCATACCCCAGCCGGCAAATATTCCACGCAAATAGCCGTCATACCCTACAGTTCTCATTGAAATAGGTGGTGAATGGATGTTCTCCGTCCATTCATACAGAATTACCTTCAGAACCATCCCGAGCACGATTTGCCCTGAAAATCCCTGAAAGATGTGACAAGTTGTCGGCACATCTTGGGGCCGAAAACGGCCCAAGCCGGATCAAGTGCTTTGCCTTGCAGGCTATATGAAATCGGGGTACCAGCCAAGATGATAGAATAAGCTTCCGTGAAGCAAAAATGCTTTCCACATTTTCCACTTTCCGTTACTCGTGTTTTCACTCCAGCATCGTCGTGACATGTCGTGACAATCTTGAACTGAGCAGCAAAGACGTAAAAGAGCAGCTGGAGCAAAACCAAGGTCCACAGCAAGGAACTGAGGGTGCTGGCAATGGACACCAGCAAGCCTCGAAGCGCCTGGGCAACCGTGGGCTGGGCACACTAGGCTCGACTCTTTTGGGGGTTGGAACATGTTGGAACTACAGTGGAACTACTCACAAGTAGCACTTTGGCCAGAAGTTGAATGGGATGAAATGGGATGAAATGCCCCATCTATGCCCAGCTGATTGGGACAAAATAGCCGATATCTGAAATTGCCTCTAAGTAGCTGTGGCAGACATTATTGTGGGTATCAGGTACCCTCCAGGAGCAAAAGACGACAATGGATGTAGAAAAATGGTGAAAGCATCCCAATCCTGATTTGTAGATAGTTGACCTATGAAAACATTTCAAGGCTTGGTTTTTCCATTGCCGTCTTTGCTCACCGGAAGTTATACATACATGCAAATGTATATGCACATAGCGAGAGAGTGAGAGAGTGGACAGTAGATTAACTAGATTAGGTTCGATACAATTGGATTGGCTTGGATTGTACCAGACCGACAGACATACAATTATGTATCATACAGTTGTATATAAATCTGATTGTTTCCCAATCAAACGGTTGGTTTCTCCCCGTTTTGTTCGTGAAATCACCTAAACGGCTAGTTCCATCCCACGTTATCCGAAAGCTGTTGGTCCTTTATACCATTTTATACCATTACACCCCCATGTTCAAATGATTGAAAACATACCAGCCCCATTAGATCCCATCATACCCCCAATTAAATCCCATGTTTGATCGTTAAATCCTAATTCTTGATGTTTATATAAATATTGGATGATTAAACTCTGATTCATGTCACATAATATCATGTTGTTGGTTCATTATATTTACGTCCCACTGGATCCCCCACAAGATGCTTGGTCTTGTGGAATTGATGTGGTAAACCTCATAATAAACCAGCCCCAATTGAGCACTGTTTCTTTTGGGTGCTTGGGTCCTATACGCTAACTTAGGGTACCTACGCAGTGTGTATGCAGGCCTACGCCGCGTGGAAGGTACCCTACACGGAAGCACATGTCAAAAAAACGCCTATGCGAGCGCCTATGCACATGCAGAAGTCAGCCGCTTGCATCTCAACCTACGCAACCTTACACCCGCCAAAAAATCAGCACGCGCCTACATAGAGAGCTTACCTTACGCCGGCGCTGCTCTGCAAAACAGACATGATCAGCCTACGCAGCATATGATGATATATCATGCAGTTCCCTCTTATCCAAATTTCATGATCTCAAAAAAGAAAAACCATGCTCAATCCGGGTTTATTCTTGGGTATATCGACATGACTGGGGTGATTTTCAAGCTCCCCGTAATGGATGTTTACTGGGTTGGTTTATATGGCATTGGGTCTCCCACATTATACCAACAAAAAGTGCATCAATGGTTAACATCCCCTTGATAATCCCCAATATCAATATCAATATCAATCTCAATATCAGTGTATATATATATATATTAGGATGGTGAATTGTTATTTATACCCCTATTTTCACATCCTGATGTTGGCCCACAGCGCCCACGGGCACCGAAAAGTAGCGCAGCAAGCGGAAAAGGCGTACGCCTCGCAGCGTCCGAGCCAGGCGCAAGGCCCGCATGACCCGGACCGAGCCGCCCCCGCCATCACCGAAGACCTGGACGAACAGCAGTGGAACAGTAATTGCTGTTCATATATGTTCATATGTGGATGTTTAATGATGTTTATGTATATGTTGATGTTATGTGATTCTATCTTTATTAATCTCTGAAGTATTTCTTACCTATTCATTTCTGGTTTGTCTGGGCAATATAACCAAGATAGTTTATAGCTAGGTCTATTACAATCATAATATAGCTTACATGGATGCGAACTCGTGGTATTTAGAACTTGGTTCACTGGAAAGCTGGTTTCTATGATTGCTACTTTTTGACGATTGGCAATTACTTGTTTGGACTGGACTAGACTAGACCAGACCGAAAGACCTACAAACCTTTGAAATATAAATATGTATTTAAAGGTACGAGTACCACTACTATGACAAAAAAATACAATCATAACTCGTACATGATAATCAATATCTATATACATATATGTGCGCGTGTGTATCGCCAATGTAGCTTGGTATAACGGATAATTTGTTTTTGGCCATTGGAGTTGTAATTATCAAAACTAAAGCTGGTTTATCTGTAATTGTAGCGCTAGTTTACCACCCACCTTACCAAATTCATCATAATTACAATTACATGATTCCTGATAATTCTCAAAAGATTATATATATATATACACATACACTCTATATCATGCTTTACCTGAGTTGCCGTGTCAAACGCCATGCTCACTCATCAAACAGCCCCAGGATTATCGAATGAAGGGGATTTTCCAAGAATGATGGGCAATCCTCACCAGCAGTACGTCTGCCCATCCCATCCTGTGACTCCAAGACACGGCTTGAGAGAAGTACTCCAAACCCGTCCTGAGATTTGTGCTGAAAATATCTGGGAATTCCACCATCCCTGGTTCAAACTGAGTACCAGATGCTTGTTTCTGTCGAAATGGTGGGTGCATTTTTATCGACATCATGCATGCATATATGATACCCCTTGGTTGCTCCTAGGGGGGGTCCAGCCCCTGAAATAGTAGACCCCAGTGGCTGTTTTCCAGAGGGGCCTGACCCCCCCATACCCATTTTGAGCATTTCTGAATGGATAAAATCTAGGGTCCCAAGTCTAGCATTCGTAAACCAAACATTTTTGCTAACACTCAACTTGGACAAGGGAACCAATACTTTGGAGCAATTTGGACGTTCCAAAATGGTCAAAGGTCAGGCCCCTCAAAATATTTTGGGCATGTTGTGAATATTTTGGACATACATTTTTTATCTGTGAATCTTATGAAACATGGACCTCCTGGATTTTAGCCATAGTTCCTTTTCCCCCTGCATGCCACAGATAAGCTGGCCACTTTGAAAGGTTCTCAACAGAGATAAAGTTGACAAACATGTCACAACTAACTTCCCAAGAAAACAATTTTTGCACACCTTTAATGCCAGTTGTTTTTAGAGGGATTCATCATTCATCTATCAAGGTTAGCGGATACAGATGTTATTTTCAGGTTTTCCCTCCAAGCTTCAAGAGCAAAGATTGGATTCGGTAGCCTTTTTGGAATCAATTTTAGTGTTTGTCCTTGATGTGCGGGTTCAAAAAAAGGATTTCAGTGAGGAGACTTTGTTCTGGATTTGATTTTTTACAAATATGATAAAGGTAAACATTTCAGCACCGTCCCAAGTAAATAAACTTAGTGCAAGTTTTTTGATGCTGATTTGCAGAGGGGTTGATATCTCAAGGTTGGGGACACAGGTTTTATTTCCTGCATTTCTGGCCTAGCACCCCGCTAAGTCGAAGCAGCTATCCAGGAGCTAAAGGTGGACCGGGTGAGACGTTGGTATCCAGGATTTGGTTGCGTGTTTTTTGAATCAAATTCAATATTTGTCCTTGATTTGAAAGCTCAACAAAAAATGGATTTCAAGAGGAGATAATATTGACAGGGTTTCCGTTTCTGTGGTACAAAAGCTGATAAACATGTCCAAGAAATAAAATGTGCACCTTTGGTTGATGCCTGTTTTGCAGAGGGGTTCATCTGTCAAGGTTGGGGACATAGATTTTATTTCTTGGTTTTTCCTCCAAGCTTGGCCCCGCTAGATCGAAGCAGCTATGCGGGAACAGAAGAAGAAGCACAGGATTTGGCAACCTTTTTGTTTGGGTCAAATTCAATCTCTTGACCTGAAAGTTCAAAAACAATAAGGTTTCAAGGTGAGGAAATGTTTACAGTAACTGTGAGTTTGATAAACATGGCAGCAATGCTCAGCAAAATAAATTTCATGCACCTTTGTTACAGTTTGATGCCAGTTAAGCCCACAAAATGGCACTCAACCTGGCTCTCTCCTAGAAGTTTTCCCAACTTTGCGTACGCCCCCCTGTTTCTTCCATATTCCCTTAATTTCCTTCCAAAAAAAAAACTATCATTGGCCATAGTGGGAATGAGTGGGAAATGTTTTGGTTTCATTTGTTTTTTGACAATTCTTCGAGTTTGCGGGCCAGCCCGGTGACTAGCCGCCCACTTTGGTTTTCGAGGGGTACCAGGCATCTCCAATACCCCTTGAATAATTTCTCCCCCGGGGAAAGCCCACAAAATGGCACTCAACCTGGCCTTTTCCTAGGCATTTTCCTAACAGTCCTTCATTGCCATCCAAAGAACTCTCGAGAGAAAGTACCATGAGAGAAAGGTGGTCCGTTGGACACTAGTTTGTGCTTGCAAGTACGTTGCAAAAAAAAATGGTGGCAGCAATTGCCCAAACTGCATGATGCCTCAAACAACTGCAATTTGCATTTCCAGCAAAAAGCTTTCAGGCAAACACCGCCAAGCTAGGAATTGTTTTTGGAAGGGCCAGGCCAAATGTAGGAACGTATAGGCTGCTTCGAGATGTTTTAAGATGCTTGAAGTTATAGAAAATTATTCCAAAACCCAATTATTCCGGGGTATCTTGACGGGGGGGGGATCATGATTTTCAAATTCCAACATGCATAATCGCATACCTACCCCTTGAAAAAAATATTCTTTGAAAATTATTCCAAAAAAATATTCCATAACCTAGTTGATACCCTGGAATATTTTTTAAGGCATGGGGCATTGTAAATGTACATACTGCATCCACAGAATTCAAACATATTCAAACAAAATATGCCGAAACATTCCCCAATGAACATATGAGGGTATGGGTCATATTGTGAAAAACCTTGATTACCACACCACAAATCTCGGCAAACCTTCAGTCCCAAACACAACCCACAATATACACCCTTCTCTCCCCCAAAAACTGTGTTTCAAAACTCTTGTCTTAACCCAGACCAACCCTCAAAAGCCCATAGGTACTAAACATGACCCATGTAGGGCCGCCATACCTCTCAAGTTTATTTTATGGGAAGCTGAAACAAAGAAACCTTTGAGATGTGGATGAAGAAAACGCGGCCTTCTGCAAGAAGAGCTCCCCAAGTTCTAGGTTGGTTTCTTGGCTCATAGTTTTTGAATCCAACTGTAAATAAATGATGATATTTGATGATACGTGGCGATATATGATGATATATGATTTCATATCTAGTTATCGACCAAGTTACCTCCCCAAAACCTGGGTGTTTAGCGCCCAATCAGCCGAGCCGCTCCGCCACCGACATGCCCACGATCAGGAAGTCCTGTCTGGGAAAAAAACGCCATTTCCAAACGAAAAGAACCGCATGCTGTTTTGTTTTGACGCGTCTACATATGCATCTACTGCATCTATGTATGAAAAAACTATCTGCTGATCATGATCCATCTTACTTGTTCATTTGCTTGTATATACATAGATGTTTTAATTTGTTTATTTGTTATTTACTTTTTTATTTATGCATTTATTTATTTATTTACTGTATTCATTTATTCATTTATCTATGTCGATGTGTTCATGTACTTTGGTTTGTCGAAGTGTTGGGTCTTGCGAAAAATCCCCACAAAATGGCTCTTTCGGGGGCATCCCCGATTTCCAAGCACATACCCAATTCGATGGCCGCGCGGCGAAGGCATTCCATTTCCAGGATTTACCTCTCCAATACCTTCGACGAGGGCACGCAAAAAAAACACCCTCTGGAATCTAAAAATGCTGAATATGATGACTTGATACTTTGATTCTTACTACTAAGACTGTTCCCCTGTGTCTCCACACTGACAAGTTCTTACGGTAAGTGACAAAGGCAGGGGTTGGATCAGGGTGCTCCATCTGATCTCCGGCCTTTTTGCTGTAAATCTCTTGTGAGATGTTCATGTGCATTTCGACTGCCCAGCTCGCACAAGAGGAGCGCTGCGGTTTTGTCTCTTCCGAAGGTGTCGTTTTACTAGCGTGCCCCGCTCGTTCTTTGAGCCATTTCCATTTTTCGTGGCAAGCCTAGTACTTTCGGGACATTTCGAAGTCCAAAACGCTGTTTTGCGTGATAGGCGCAGGACATCGGACAATTTTTGATCCGCACGGCAGGCGTGGCATTTTCTGCGCGTTGCTCGAATGTTGGCAGGCTTGGGCCAACATGAAAGGTGAATTTTGGATGACATTTTCGTCGCATTTTTGTTTCACGCGCACTATTTGGTGAACTTGGGGGACGTTTTGGGAAGGTTGAAATTTAAAATTTCTTTTTGTGAAAATTTCGTCATTTTCAGTGGGGACATGATGATGATTCTGCGTGGCAGGCGCAGCACGGTGCGAATTTTGACATCGCGCGCGCACCCGCCTCGGCACTTTGTGCGCGTAGGACCCGTAGGATCGCTTTTTCCGCACTTTGTGCGTGTCAGACAGCGCGGTGCGAATTTTTACATGGCTGGCGCGACCTTCTTGGCAGCCTGTGCGTGTCAGATCGCTCTTGTTGAGGTGTGGTGTGATTTTTCACATCGCTCTTGTGATTTTGTGCATGTTAGATCGCTCTCTTTGTGACGCGGTGCTGAATTTATAAAACTGATTCTCTGGGATCCTGGTCACAAGATCTTATCAGTTCTCTGGAATGTCTTTCTGCGACGATCTTGCAAGAGTTTCATGGTGCAGTCTTAGGGGCCCGTAACATTTGAAGATCTTGGCCAAAATTTTGCAGAGGCCCTTGGAAGCAAATGCTTTGAAGATCCTGAGGAAATCCTTTCAGAAGCCCTGGCATGATCTTGTACAGGTCCGCATGAGAAGCTCTTGTGAAGATCCTGCTGGCATCTTCCAAGAGGTCGCTTCATGATCTCTCACAGGTCCTTATCGGAAGATCTTGTGGAGATCCTGGTGAGATCTTCTCTAAAAGGTCCTCGCATGATCTTTATACAGGCCCGTGTCAGAAGATCTTGTGGCGATCCTGGTAAAATCCTCTCTAGGGTCCATTGCATGAAGATCTTGCAGATGCTACGTATCAGGTGCTTGTCTGAAAGCTCTTCTGGGGTGCTCTTGGGAGGCTCTTGCTTCAAGATCTTGTACGATCCTCTCCAGCAGCAGCAAGTCCTTTTATGCACATTTTGTGAGATTTTCGTAGGGGTGCTCATATGAAGGTCTTGGTACAGGTCCTTTACGATTCCCTGTGAGGAGATCTTGTGGAGATCCTGTTGAAATACCGTCAGATGCCTTAGCATGATCTTGTACAGGTCCTTGTCAAAAGGTCTTGCGGAGATCCTATTCAAATCCCTCCTCAGGAGGTCCTTGCACGATCTTGCACAGGTCCTTGTGACCGGATCTTGTAGAGATCCTGGCTGCCTGATCTTGTACAGGTCCTTGAGGAGGTCCTTGCATTAAGATCTTGACGATGCTCTGCACTGGTGCTTTTAGGAAAGTTCTTCCGGGATCCTCATAGGAAAGTCTTTGCATTATGATCTTGTAAGGTCCTCTTCAAGGCCCTTCTTTGGTGATCTGTTGACATTCTCGTCGGTGTCCTGGCATGAGGTTCTCGTATGAAGTCCTGATGACTAGACATAGCATTGCTTGTGCCAAAACAAGTTCCTGCTGCTTCAGGTACGACAATGTCGACCCTGATCTGTTAACTGCTCTATTGCTAAACTGTTGCTTGTATCTGGTACATTGACGTTCTACCCGCCCACACTGTTTGGGTCTCCTCTTTCCAAAATATATTTGTTTGAACCACAAGTGGGAAAATCACAAGCTACACTGGGATGTCACCACTTAAACTTTGGATTTGAGCATCGAATTAATGACTTTGATAAGAAATAGGGGGCATCCCCTCCCAGAAGAACCCCACACCAAGGTGCTCATGGCAACCCATGACCACAAGTTTGAGCGCAGTTTCCAGGGCAAAGATCACCACAAAAATGAGATTGATGATTCCTGATTGCCGCTTGCAGGGGCTCTGAGCGACTACTCTAAGCATGCTTCAAATTCATCGGTATCTGGATGCTTCGTCTCACAAGCAGCTACCTGGCTGAATCGAGACGACCCACTTTTGGATGAATCATGACGAATCACGCCAATATTCCCGGATTTGGCATAGCGGTTTCTTTTGGGATAATCAATAATCCATCCCCCTAACATGAGGTGTCTACTAAAACCCCTTAATTTAGTGTTGAATGTATTTGTTCTGGGATCCAAATGAACATAATTAACGTAATGTAAAATAGCACAAGTGGGCCAAAAAACTCTCCTATCAATGGATTGGTGTAAAGGGAAATTCTAGGGAAAACCTTGGTCTTTACCCCCAATTGATCTCGGGTTCCTGTAAATTCTCCCACAAACCAACACCTGGGTCCATGTTAAACCCCAAGCCTTTTTTTAAATGAATGTCAATCTTTAGCTATCTTTAATTCCATTCATCATAATATATATTAGATATTCCCTAAATCAACTCCATAGATACAGAACAATGTCAACCCTGAATTAAGTATCTGGATTCAAAAAACCCTAGGCTGTTTTTCCCATTTGGTGTGGTACAGATTAAGCATGATATTTTTCATATGTTACCATATAATAACATAGTAACATAATATGTACAGTAACCAGAGACCATATTATCCACTTACTATCATATGTTATAATTAATTTCATATAATTTCTTGTCATTTAATTTCATATAATAGCATAACATGTTATCAGTTACTATCATACATTATCACATTGGATCATAGTTTATCACTACTTTGTGGGTAGCCCAAAAGGGTTTGGGCCTCAGCTGCGCACACTTTTTTTGGCTCAGCTGCGCGCGCGCAACAACGGCACTGGAGGGTGGGGGTGGGGTGGGGTGGGATGGCAACCGCTGCACCAAAAACCTGCAGAGCGAATGTGCACTAGAACCTCAAGAAACCTCCCGGAACCAGCCCGCACCTGCACCACAATCTGTACCCAACTGCGTTCCCAGCAAGCAATAACGAAGAATGCGTGGGCGAGACCCAAGAATGTGTGGGTGAGACCCAAAATGACGGGCTGATATTCCGCCACTGAAACAAAGCGTGCGCAAACGAGACCCAACTTGACCCTCGAAAAGTCACGTCAGGTGGACGCGGGGCCATCATTTTCTGTGGAGGGCGAAACTACCAGCAGGCGCGTGCGTACGCGAGACCGTGACCTCTACGGGACCGGAGTTGTGTAATGTCACCCCCGGAGTAATTATGTCTGAGCCTCCGAAGGCCTCCGGGACTTCGTTCTGAGGGAGACGCGAGGAGACATCGATCTCAATGCCCAGCAAGATGGCATTGGCCACGATGAAGACCTGATGCATCCAAGGTCATCTTACATCATCTTACAGGATTAAAATGTGAATCCAACATCGGTTTCCGATGATTTACTTGCTAGTTGAAGGACAAGGTGAAGGAAACCGCGTTTTGTAGATGACCAATAAGATCTGCTAGACGACGAATGGCCCGAGAGCGTAGAGGTGCAAGTTACTCAGGTGTATATAAGTAAAAACACAACATCATGAGTATGTAAGAAGTATGTGGTGTAAGTAGAATAAAAGACACTGATAGCGGGATATAGCGATGCTCAGATAGCTGAAGAGAGCCATTGAAACATGTGTACCGATACAGAACGACAGCAAGAAGTTAAAAAGTGCTGCAAGACCAAGGCTGTATGAAGGAAACTGGGTAGCAGGAAGAAGGTGAGGGACGGAAAGAAAAGGTGGAGAAGATGTAAGATGTGAAGATGCAACAAAAACGCTTGTACATGAGGCTCTTACGCAGAAACGTTTTTACACACAAACGCCTTTACACAACAGACGCCTTTACACACAGACACCTTCTACACACACACTGGTGATAAGGTTGAAAGAGAAAGGTGACAATGATGTGCTTCAGGTCGCTTTGTAAGGACCTAGAAAATCAAGACCTAAGAACTCGAGGCCTCAAAATCGGTATTGCACATGTATGTCACATGAACCCTTCAGTTTGCCTAAACAGCCTGATACGAATAGCTTGAACAACCGTTGAACAAGAGCAGGTACGTGACTCCAGCGTCCCAGAGTCATATCAGTCATGAATGCAGCCCTCTTCGTTGCGCAATCAGCTGCAAACATGAGATTGCCCCCTTCTACCGGCACATAAGAAAAGACCGCATGCTATAGCAGCACACACAATGCCCTCCCTCAGGAGGCGTTTCCGGACCTAATAATGATTGAAAAACGCAATATGTGAAAATGATTGAAAATGTGGTCTGACGGACACAACCGCACAGTGTCTAGGGTTCCCGGACGTGCTTGGTAACTTATTGATGCATTCCCAACGTCACGTTGTCAGCAAAAATGATTGTGTCGACTAAGTGCGCTGCCAACAACTGTCAAGGGTAGAGATGTACCAGCTCCACCATACTTTTGGGCAGTCATCAACACAGTTCAACTTCTCTAATATGTGGTCCAGTAATATCAGTAATGTGTTGTCCACATGCGTAGAAACTGTTAGTCGTTGTCCATGATGAGTCGTTGGGGTCTGATGCTGATGGACGGATAAATCCCTCCGCCACTGAGTGCGCTGCGCTCAAAGTACTGGTGTTGCGGGCAAACATGTAGTAGTGCTTAGAGTCAAACGGTGTGCTAATGTCCAACTGGTTGGGTGTAAGTTTATTTACAACGGTCGGTTTTGATGATCTCCAAGGATGCCGACGGTCTCTACCAATTCAACATTCGAATACATTCGATGGATATAATACAAGGCTTTCTCTCAGCAACTGAATACCTGGTCGAACTATGCGCGCAAACTCAGGAAGGAAAAATTGCGGAAAATGACGTTCCAAATCTTCCTGAAGAAATTGGACATAATGTTTTCTATACATGACAATCTCTGTAGACGGTGTGGATCCACAAGCTGCACTGTATTATGCATGATTTGACGCATATGATTGTTGAATTCACGAATACGTCCTTTGTCCAATGCGCTGGTGATCCGATATGAAAATTGCAGCGAAGGTCATCGAACACGCTTCATATTTCATAAATGGCAGGCCAGTCGATTTGTTACATGGATTCGGTACCCAGTAATTGATCTATTAATCCAAATTTGATACGATATATTGGTGCAAGAACCCAAAGTGAAGTAGAACGATTTGGGAAATGTGGATATCTTACTTCACGAACTTCCTGCACATGAGGTTGTCTTCCAATTCGAAAACTGATAGAGAAAGAGGCTACAGTTTCTGCTGGGCCCGGTGCTGCACTCGAAAGGAGATTTGTCCCCCACTTGTGCATGAAGAGTCCGGCTTTTGGAGATGCTGTCTCAGTCGTTGGATGCGAAGCTGAGGTCAGGACTGGTATCTGATCCTGAACCGATCGTTCGTAGGGTTGAGACCGAATTGGTCGAACATTCTGGGGTCCGTATGAAGGTAACGCCCACTGAGGTTGTGACATGATACTCAGCATGATCTGAAATTGAAATTGTTGCTGACTCAACGATTGTTGATGCAATTGGTTCTGCAAATTCAAATTCTGTTCCCGCAAAGTCCTCTCATATCCAGTAAAGTGCGAAATGACAATGTTCAAGGCGGGTGAATCCTGGAAATTGGTATTGCACATGTATGTCACATGAACCCTTCAGTTTGCCTAAACAGCCTGATACGAATAGCTTGAACAACCGTTGAACAAGAGCAGGTACGTGACTCCAGCGTCCCGGAGTCATATCAGTCATGAATGCAGCCCTCTTCGTTGCGCAATCAGCGGCAAACATGAGATTGCCCCCCTGCTATCTATACATAGGACAAACCGCAGATTACACACACACACACGCACGTTTTTACGCATACATTTTCACACAGACGGTTTTACGAACAGACACAGTGACGCTTTTACACACAAACACTTTTCCACACAGACGCTTTTACGCACAGACGCTTGTACACACAGGCGCTTTTACGCACAGGCGCTTTTACGCACAGGCGCTTTTACATCTTTTACACACAGACGCTTTTACACACAGACACTTCTACACACAGATGCCTTTACACACAGGCCCCTTTCCACACAGAAACTTTTACGCACAGACATACACAGACGTTTTTACACACAGATGCTTTTACACACAGATCCCGTATGATCCCGTTACTCACAGACACTTTTACACAAAGACACTTTTACACACAGACACTTTTACACACAGACGCTTCTACACACAGATGTCTTTACATTTAGGCCCCTTTCCACACAGAAGCTTTTGCACACACACGCTGTTACACACAGACGCTTTTACACACAGACGCTTTTACACACAGACTCCTTTACTCACAGACACTTTTACAAACAGACCCTTTTACACACAGACGCTTTTACACACAGACACTTTTACACACAGACGCTTTTACACACAGGCTCCTTTACTCACAGGCACTTTTACAAACAGACCCTTTTACACACAGACGCTCTTACACACATGACACTTTTACACACAGACGCTTTTACACACAGAAGCTTTTACAAGCTTTTACAAACAAGCACTTGTTCACGTTCACACACAAACGCTCACACACACAGAAGCTTTTACATACAAATGCTTTACACACAGAAGCTTTTACACACAAACGCTTTTACACACAGACGCTTCTACACACAGAAGCTTTTACACACAAATGCTTTTGCACACAGACGCTTTCACACACAGAAGCTTTTACACACAGACGCGTTTTTGCACACAGAACCCTTTGCACACAGACACTTTTACACACAGACCCTTTAACAGGACCAACCAAACTCAAAACAAACCCTCAGTTTTTGACACTCGAACCTCATTTCGTGCGAAATGGTTGCCGCGGACACTTCAAAATCGCAATTTTACAAAACGCGCATAAAACCCTCAGTTGTTGACACTCGAACTTCATTTCGTGCGAAAAGATTGCCATTTCGTGGCGCCTCGTCGGCAAGATGTGAAGATGTGAAGATGTGATGAAGATGAGAAGATGTGAAGATGAGAAGAGAGAGAAAGAGACAGAGAGAGAGAGAGTGAAGATGTGAAGATGACAAGATGTGATGAAGATGTGATGAAGATGTGAACATATGAAGATGTGAAGAACCCTTGGCTCAAACGCTCTCGGGAATAAAGGACTTCCTGCACTTGATCCCTGACACTGGCTATGGGACATCATCATTTTCGCCAGAAAGAATTTGTCCTGTGCAATGCAAAACTGCAGTAAATTTCGTCCAAAAGATGGAGGCAACAGTGGTACGAAACCATCGAGGACCATCCCTTCGAATGATGCCGCCAAGGCCAGTGATCCAATTGCTTTGATCACGAAGTCTGCAGCAAAAGGATGCAACCCCAGTGGCCAGCCAGGTAACCGTTCAACTAGTGCGATGGAAAGGCCCATCATATGTCTTTGATATATTTTGATATGATGATATTTGTGCACAGGCCTGGCTTGAATATGAATTGCGCCTGGTTTCCTGATGGAAGGAAGGATTAAGTTCTCCCTCGACAAATGGTCGGCCACCAGCAGAGAACCAACATCTGCCACGGAACCATGACGATATTGGAGAACAAAGCCGATAAGACCTCGGTCAGAAAATGTCACGTTATGGGGCGTCCAAACAATGAAGAAACATGGACAACTGCAAAAATAGTATGGTTTATAAGTTTATAAGGTTGAATATGTCACTCAAAGTGGCTTTTCGAAAACCTCCAAATTACATGGCTTAATGGGCAACAACGTGCAACAGGAATTACGATGAATTAAAATCCAAGCATGAGTAAGTTTGTGTGTCCATGCGCTTTTTCGAACCATGCCCGAGCGATGTCAGGCTAAGTAGCCCATTTCCGCAAGCGAAGTTTCAAGGTGTGCCCGCTCAAGTCTCCACGGAGAACCTCTTGGAGGTCCTGAAGGGGATGGTAGCATCTACTGGCTACGTCCAGCTATCACTTTTTACCATCACTTTAGTGAAAAAGGCTCGGGCCGTCTAACTGCCATGCGTTTAGTTGAATGCCTGGATGGTACGAGTTTACCCTCCACCCTGTACGGTAAGCCCCAATCTAAAAGTTTTGAAACCCAGCATGGAAAGGTATCTTTGTTCTATTTGTGCCATGCAGCGGATCATCCCATTTAGCAACTGGTGAGCTGCAGCAATCCAATTACAAATGGGATGACCCTCTCGGAAAGGTGACTTATTCACTGACCTAATTCTCATCGTTCAGCCACTCCCTCCAGCCTTGTCTTCATCAGCTTGTTCCTCGTTCCTCCTCGCCTCGCACCGTGCTCTGCATCAAATTTTGGGAGTTTTTGATTATTTCTTTGAATGGCTGAGAGGAAAATGTACGAATTGTTCTTCTCCAGGCTGGAATTGGACATATTTAATGCGTGTACATCTATACATCTATACATCTATCTATCTATCTATCTATCTATCTATCTATCTATCTATCTATCTATCTATCTATACATCCATCTATCTATCTATACATCTATCTATCTATCTATCTATCTATCTATCTATCTATCTATCTATCTATCTATCTATCTATCTATCTATCTATCTGTCTCTATCTATCTATCTATCTATCTGTCTCTATCTATCTATCTATCTGTCTCTATCTATCTATCTATCTGTCTCTATCTACCTATCTATCTATCTATCTATCTATCTATCTATCTATCTATCTTTCCATCTATCTATCTATCTATATCTATCTATCTATCTATCTATCTATCTCTATCTATCTATCTATCTCTATCTATCTATATCTATCTATATCTATCTATATCTATCTATATCTATCTATATCTATCTATATCTATCTATATCTATCTATATCTTTCTATATCTATCTATATCTATCTATATCTATCTATATCTATCTATATCTTTCTATATCTATCTATATCTATCTATATCTATCTATATCTATCTATATCTATCTATATCTATCTATATCTATCTATATCTATCTATATCTATCTATATCTATCTATCTCTATCTATCTCTATCTATCTCTATCTATCTATCTATCTATCTGTCTCTATCTATCTATCTGTCTCTATCTATCTATCTGTCTCTATCTATCTATCTGTCTCTATCTATCTGTCTGTCTCTATCTATCTATCTATCTGTCTCTATCTATCTATATCTATATCTATCTATCTATCTATCTATCTACCTATCTACCTATCTACCTATCTACCTATCTACCTATCTACCTATCTACCTATCTACCTATCTATCTATCTATCTATCTATCTATCTATCTATCTAATCTATCTAATCTATCTATCTATCTATCTATCTAATCTAATCTATCTATCTATCTATCTATCTATCTAATCTATCTAATCTATCTAATCTATCTAATCTATCTGTATCTATCTATCTATATCCATCTATCACTATATATTACTATGTTGGTCCAGCATTCCAACCTGCCCCGGCCATGGTCATGCGTTAGCTTACACACCAGCACTAGTACTCTCCCCCTCCCCCCCCTGTGGGATGGTGAGGTGTGCGGAGGAGTGTAGTCTGTGTATGTCAGGTATGGTATGTGTTGTATGTATGGTATGTGTGGTATGCTTGGTATGCTTGGTATGCATGGTAGGTATGGTATGCATGGTATGCATGGTATGTTCAGCATGTATGGAAGGTGCGGTATGTTGGTATGTGTGGTATCTGTGGTATGTGTGGTATGCTTGGTATGTATGGTGTGTAATGGTATGTTTGGTATTTATGGTAGGTATGGTAAGTATGGTAGGTTTGGTAGGTATCGTACGTATGGTATGTGCTTGTACAGTATGTATGGTATGTTTGGTAGATATGGTAGGTATGGTATGTATGTTATGTTTGGTATTTGCGGTAGGTATGGTTGGTATGGTATGTATGGCGGTATGTATGTTATGTTTGGTACGTATGGTATGTATGGTAGGTATGGCAGGTATGGTAGGTATGGTCGGTATGTCATGTCTGGTTGGTATGGTATGCATGGTATGTGTGGTTTGTATGTTGAGAATTTAGAAGCTACAGCAGAAGAACGCTACAGCTTTCTGAAAATTACGAGGCGCATGGGGTGAATGGATAAGGGGTGGGGGGGTGATGGTATACACACCGTTAAACATATGATGTGTAGTGTGGTGTGAGTATATAGAAGTAAATAGGAAGTAGATATGTAGCATGTCTGTGTGTGGCTAGAGGTACTACGTAGGTACTTTGACGGAGTATGTGCGCTATGCAGGTCGTCTAAAAGGTGGCAGCTCCTAGTAAATGAGAGGCTGGAAGTCATATGCAAGCTGCAAATACCTAATTAGTAAATACGAGGCTGGATCTCAGAAATGCTGCGAATAGCTTGCAAATAGAAAGGCCGGGGGTGGTACCTGGGGACCCATACCATTGGGGTAGGAACACAAAACACGAGACCATATATGTGTGCCAATATATGCCGTTCCCTCTTGCCCAGCCTTCAGATGCTTTTCCAACATGTCTCTTGCGATAAGGGTGTTGCGATGACTGACCCTGAGTCGAGGGCTGTCTGGTTCTAAACAACCCACCGATGATATGGGCCAAACATGAAAAAATTGCTTGCGTGACCTCCCAAGCATTTGCAGTTGTTCAAATCTTGGCATCGTATATCCAGCGCCGGAAATACAGAAATGCAAGGGAGAATCCCATGGCGTGAATAAATCCATCGTCTGATGGGCCATCCACCATCTCTGTTTGTTTTGCCATGTTTTGCCAAGATTCGCTGAATTTCGACCCCTCTTCTCATGATCGCTCTCTGAATCCTCGTCCACCGACATGAACGTTGGCCGTGCATCTGACGTCGCCGGCATCATCGGCATCACAGGGTCCGGCGGCAGTGTCAGTGGCGGCGGCACAGGACACCCCAGGGGCTTCTCGAGGTCGCGAGTAGGGCGGGGCGGAAGGGACATCGAAGAAGAAACCTGTTGGATTGTCACAGGTGAGGTCAGTGAGGGCAGGACGCCGCTCCCATTGCTTGCCTGCCTCGGGAAGGTATTTGAGACGGTGCCAACACCGTTTTCTGGATCGAAAAAGGTGAAGAGGTTGGGGCCTGGCGATTCCAGCAGGGCCTTCACATCTCGGTGGAGGTCTTCAAGAAGCCTCAAGATTCGCAGTTGGCAGGTTCAATATCAAACATATCAAACAATCGCAAACGTCTGTTTCGTGCATTCCATGCATTCCAGTCCATTCCATTCCAGTCCATTCCATTCCAGTCCATCCCATCCATCCATCCATCCATCCATCTCTCCGTCCCTCCCTTCGTCCGTCCGTCCGTCTGTCTGCTCCATCAATCCCCGTGGGTGCTTGCCGGCCCCTTCCAAGGATAGACAGGATAGATGAAGTCAAGAAAATGAGACAAACAGACGCAAAAGTTCATGTTTTGGGCACACAAGCCAAAAGCCACAGGAACACCTGTTGTCTTGTCCGGGTGGGTCATTAATGATCCGTGTGTCTTGAGGGAATCCTCGCTGAGCGAGGCAATGCCCATCCCAAAATTCCCACTGAACCAGCAAGATTGCAAATTCGCAGTGGTCATCCGCCATCTAATATTCCCAGAAAAACACATTCCAAGCCCCTATGTAGGGCAAAAAGAAAACTCGACCAAAAGGTTGCGCAACCATCGGTTTAAAAGACCCGAGGCGGCCATGTTTGCAGGTGGGCAACGTGGTTTGCATCTCAAACTGACGGTTCAAGTACCTTTGCTGAAGCTGAGGTCTGAAAAACGGTTCCAAGATGGGTAGAATGAGAAATGATATCCATTGATATCCCAGAAGTAGAGGGAAAAGTTCTGTGAACCCCTAGGCTTGATGGAAAATCCATGGTTTGCTTCGTTTGACTGTATCTTCGTAATTAAGGCATGCTGCATTACAGATTAAGCCGATTAAGCCATACTTTTCCGGTCACAGTCACAATGGCTATTGGAAATGCTTATTCGAAGGCTTCTCTGGTGGAGCATCTATTGCTTCCCACTGCGTCAGTGACAAGCAGAGTTCCCATCGGCGCGATTCATTCGACTCCAGAAAGTTCCCTTCGGTCTCCGGATATTCGATGACAGGTAGCTAAACTCGGGGGCACATAATATATGTAAATGTATGTAAATGTAAGGTCATATGCATTTTTCCGAGGAACTATTCCCCAAGCCCGAAACATGACCAGGGCTTTGATCAGGTTCAATGCGTAGCCCTTGGTATTTCTGGGGGTACAAGTTTGACAACTTATCACCTATCCAAGCAATCCCTGGCTGCAACCCCTTGCGTAAAGGGTCTAAGTGGGAATGGCCAGCTCGAAATGCATTCTACTAGTATCTTGTATAAGATTTTCCGGGGGGTCACAAGCCAATGTTCAGCCAAGGTGACATTTGCAAATCCTCAGCAGCTGGGGATGAGATTCATGTTCAGGCGAGGGGAGTGACTTGCAGCATTGACCTGCTGGAAAAATGTGTTTTTCCTTTTCAAGATGTTGGCAATCACATAAAATACAAATTTGTACATCACGATTTTGTAAATCACCAATCTAAATAGACTGGAAAATATATTGAAAAATGAACGAATACTTGCTCGAAATGGCCTCAACATCTTTCCAAGTCTCAGCCATCTCGCTACTCACTTCGCCAGTGCTGCTTGATCTCAGCATCTTCGGAGCCATGGTGAAACTTCGGAAAGTTAGAAAGGTGGGACTCAGAAAATGGCCCAAAATCAATTGGTCTTTGATTTTTAGATAGTTGTTAGAAGTTGTTAGAAGGACCCAAGTGAACTATCCCAAAGCCAAGAATTCACATCTTAAGTCTTTACTTTCTATTCATGTGTGGTATTCCCTTAAAAAAATCCCATGAATCCAGGTAAGTTCCATCAACAACCGAAGGGTACAACCATGAGTGTGCGACATGTCTAAAGGCTTTTGCAGCTGGGATCTATTGAATTCAAATGTCCTTTCTAGGCTCTGATCGCACCATCTTTGGGCGCGCGTGATCTGCAGAACTGGAGCCAAGAAGTTGCCAGTGCGCTCTCGGGTCCTGGAATGCCAACGGCTTCGCAAGCTCTCCCTGCAGACTGCGCTTCTTGATGGGCTTTGACATTGCTTACTTGGCTATGATGACACGCAGTTCCAAATTGACGGAGATTTTACCATCAGAGATAACTTGTGATAGTTTGGTTTTGAAAATCGATATGACATTTTAGATGTGTTCAGCGTCCACTTTAACTGTTCGACACCGCTCCATTTTCGAAACCCCAGATACAATATGATACCACACCCTCCGACCCTCTGAGAGGGGGTGTCCCACTTCATGAAAGGGACAAAATCGGAAAGGCCAGCGGAAAGGGGAAAAAAACACAAACGTGCCGATAAAACATGACAAGCACTTCAAGCACATCTTTGAATTTTTGACGTATATGTATATACATATATATATACATATACGAGTACAGCACAGGAATGTCATTAACTGTCAATTTTGGTTGTCATGGCACGCACGTGCCTTAAACAGCACATAGTGATAGTGAAACGCTTCAGGTTGATCTGCCAAAACACGTCATCACAGGCGTTTCTGTGATGACATTCATCGCAAAAAATAATTGCAATCGTTCCCGCAAATTGGTTTCAGAAGTTTGGGTCGTTTCGAAAATTGCACTGCTGCGTCACCTTAAGACACTGCTCATATCGTTTCACGAACCAAGCGGTATCTCAGGGACTGCTTCATTAACCGAGAGATGGTCGCCACGTCGTCATGGAGATGTTTGATGGCCTGTCCTGAAGCCAAACCAATAGTTGTTTAATTGGTCCGTTGCAAGGCATCATGGCACCCTTGAACAACATTCATGCACCGATTTGTATATACATTTTTTCTGTGCACATGTATGTACATCGAAACGTTTGGAATCAACTCATAATATGCATGCCGATTTTTGCGATGTTGTGCGCTGAAAATGTTTTGATCCAAAATTGTTTTCAATGTTGCAATCTCTGACCCATGGCAAGATGTCTGATCAACGTCCCGTCGTTTAAAAACGTTATGACATGTTATGACCATGTCATTGTTGAATTCCAGTTTTTCTCGATTTCCGGTTTGCAATCATTCCAAGTCTCTTCTGAGTTTGTTCTCATAGGCCATTTTCGCAAGTTGCAAGCTCTTTGCGGGCCCCCGCAACCTGGAATGATGCACACAGTTTCGAAATCGCCGGGGGCCCAAACTTAATCCACCCAAGTGGTTTCCAGGCACTCATCATGGCCAGCTTTGCGGAAGCAAACCCGATTTTCTTGTGAAAGAATGCCTTGCATGTCCTAGAACCAAATGGCCCTTGGTATGACAAACAAAAATAGACATACGCATGCGCACACAGTTAAACATTAAACCATATTGACACATAAATATATATATATACGTAGCTCCATGCATACATGTAAGTAAACATGTTGACTACTTACGACGTGTCAACATTTTCGGAAAATACATCAAGATACGACAATTTTGACCAAACATAGACTCAGACATATACAAACATGAAACAAATATAAACATATGCATGTGCCCATATGTGAAAATATAAAGATACCTTTATACAAATAGAAACACACCTATATATATACATATACATATATACATGTATATATATATACATATATATATACATATTAATATATATATACATATATATATATATACATATATATATATACATATATATACATATATATATACATATGTATATATATATATATACATATATATATATACAATAATGACGTATACGCGGGTAAAATACACACATAACTCTAAAACCACATGTTTTTTACACATACGTATAGGCAAATAAACGTAAATATCAAATATACATACACAGATACATATATATATATATATGCGCACTGTAGACCTTGATGCAGCTAATTAAAATGCAGAAAAAAAACAAGAAACCACCAAAAGAAGGCGTAACTAACCCAAAAAAACATATTGCAAAGGACACAAGCAAAAAGTAGCAAGTGCACCTGCTTGCACCCGCACGAAGTGGTGCAAGACACCAAGAGGCTCACGGTCTTTTCCAAGACCACGGCGTAACACGAGTTTGGCTAAAAGTCCCTCCCTAGATGTAAAATGGGCAATTGGGCTGTCGTGGCCATGGTTGAAATGTAAAATGAGGTGAAAAGGACCTGACATGCTATGATGACCCAAGTTGTATGGACATGCAACTCACACAGGGGAAATGTTACAAACTTAAAATTCCATGTCCTGTGGTGCGTCCACAACTCGAATTCCCTGTTCATCAAAGTGCCGTTCTGGATCGGCATCGACCTCTTGTAGGCTTTGCCTGTTGCAAATGGCACAAGGGCGCAGGACTCTAACCTCATGGCCTGAGTCGTAGATTTCATCACAATCGTCGTGCAAGTGCCAGACATCGGAGGCAATTTGAGTAAAAACTTCTTCCCCTTGAGGACACGTACGGAAGTGGGTCTGTAGGGCTGCTATAGCCTCATACCCGGCACCTAAGTCCTGGGTCGCAATCTGCAAAGCACGTTGACGCTCAATTGCAGTGTTGCGCATCTCCACATAGGCTTGTTGAGCACGTCGGTATCCCAAGGTTCTTCTCTCAAATGCTCCTCGAAGTTCATGCATGATAGCAAGCACATTCGCTCTTCGGTTGAGCGCATCCAAAGAGCCAGTGGCCGTATCGGCCTGCAGATTCGCAGTCACCAGGGCAGCATGCGCATGATGAAGTTGCAACCTGACCTCATACAGGTCATTCTCCAGTTGACGGCAGCGCCGTCGCAGCCAGAAAAATGCCAAAATGGCAAAAACCAGAAAAATCACCAAAAACAACCAGAGCAAGTTGTTGTTAGCTCCTGTTGCAGCGATTTCCCCTCCAGTGAAACAGATCTCTGTCGAGGCTCCTTCGGCCACCGGAAAAACACAAAGGTTCCAGCACAGCAGTGTCTTGAACACATACTTCAGCAAGTCCGTGGCCTGGAAGCTCGAAGCGCCATGGCTCGCGGCGTTGACATACTCAATCACCGCCTCATTCTGAGCAAAGCACTCCTCCGCAGGAACTGCATTGGGCTCAGAAATCTCTTCATCCACAGGAATGTCCTCAGACTCAAAAGTTTCGTTATACTCATAGGTTTCGGTCTCTTCAAGGATCTTGGAGGGCTTTTCAAAGTGGTCATACTTTGGGGTCTTGATCTCGGCATTGGGCAAAGGTTTTGAAGAAGCCTGAATTTCAGCTTGTCGCTCTGAAAGTGACTTCTTTTTGGTAGCAGTGTAGGCAGGATCGTAGAGAAACTTCACCTTGGCATGTCGAAGTCGATCTGCCAGGCTCTGACGTGTTGACGTTTTCGTCAGGCCATCTGCCAATTGGCGTTCGCTGGAAACCCAGCGCAACTGTCCACCCAAACTTTGAAGCTGCTCCTTCACCACCCTGATTTCAAGGCCAGACCGCTTGTCCACTGCAGACATCGATTCCTTGTGGTAAGAATCGTAAACAGATTTGGCGTCTGTTAGCATGGTGGGCTGCAGGGTTGACTTCACATGCAAAAGGTCTGCCAACTTCAGGTGGGGCTTGAGCAAATGCTCGAAGTAGCGACATGCAAATTCTGTCGCATCAGCAGCGCAACCAGCAGCTTGAGACTCAGCTGCCAAGGAACTTCTGGCGACCCTCGGCAACTTGAAACTTCGCCAGTCCAGGATGTGATATACATCCTCACCAGTTTCCAAAATCCCTTTTGGGGCAAGGAGGACGAAGTAGCCACCTTGTGAGGTGCCGTCAGCTCGGCTCCAAAACGAAGCATCAAAAGCTGTCACCAATCTCCAGTCAGACATCGGCCCAAAAGGCGCAAAAGAAAGTCCAACATCGGCATTGGCTTTTGCGAACTTCAGCAATTTGTTGGCTTCAAAAACTGTGGAAGCTAAACCCTTGCTAACATCGCCAGCAAGCATGGAAGTACTGGCCTGCAAGTGGGGCGAGCTCTGCACAGCTGGCCAGGACAAACTTCCCATCAAACCACGTAGTGCAGTGAGCTCAGAGGAACTCAAAAGCTTCTCAGGGCCCACATGTTTTCCCAGCGTCATCGGTTTCAGGCGCTGGAGGTATTGGCCATGCTTGAGGCTGAGTGCATCACCATTGCGCTTGATCGTAGCGCCACAGTACTCAAGGCCAGGGCCAGTTTTCCACTCACGAAAACTGAAAGACTCCTTGAGGGCGGAGATCACATGTTGATACACTGCCGAGGATTCAAGTCCAGCTCCCACGAGGTCGTCGACATGGATGCAAATCATGCCAACCAAACCGCCCTCGCCAACACCCAGTTTTTCATGAGGAACTTCAGGGAAAGAATCTTCAAAAATCAAAAATGAGCAAGGGTCGAGGACGTGAGGGACCAGTTTGAATTCAGTCAGGCGTCTGGTCGCCTCCAAATACCATCTTCTGGGAGCATCCAGTTGGCCGTAGCACGGCTTGAAAAGCAACATCCTGCAGTCTTCAGACGCACCAAGAAGCTTCAGACACTCAGAAGGCAGCTTCACCCAGAGGTTTCGTTCTTGGGGTAGCCCTTGTAGGAAAGCGGTCGAAATGTCCGCAGTCCATTCCTTCCATCCCAGATTCACAGCAAGGGAAAGCAGCATGTTGCGGCTCAACCTGGAAGTCGTTGGGCTCGAAGTGTCAAGTCCAGTGGTCAGGGCGTCATAGTCATTGTAGCCCCTCACGATCAACCTGGCTTTTGCCCTTGGTGATCCATCTGGGTGTTTTGAAGCATTCTGGCCGTCAAAGTTCAAGCACTGTCGGCATTAGATGCCGTATCAAAAGTCCAGACCTCGTGCTCGAAGAACGATCTCAACTCTTTGCACTTAGCTTCTTGGAAGAGGGCCTTCTCATCCGCAGTCAAAGTCTTTTCAGTGACCGTCTTCCTGCCTTTGGTCTGCTGTCGAACCATTTTGGTGCGAGCTTCACGTCCAAGTTTCTTTGCAGACTGATTTGAGTACATGCAAAGCTCACGGCGAGCAGCACCAGTGATCTGGAAGATCGAGAGGCCAGTCCAAGCATGTCGAGTGGACTTCTGTTGAGTGCCATCGTCGTTGAGAATGTTCACAGAGCCGTCAAGGCTTTTCATCACAGTGATCCGAACTGGATCCAAGTACTGCAGGTCAATGGGCAGGTCGGAGAACTTGGAGATGTCGACCGTGGAGTGTCGAGGCGTCACATGAGGACGTAGAAGACAACCAGCTTTGACTTCCCAGAAGTCGTTGACCTTGTCAGTCAGTTGGAAGTAGCCCGTAGATTCATCAAAAGTCCATCCCTTGGGCAGCTGATCGGTCTCGACATCCTAAACCGCAAAGGCCTGTGAGAAGTTGGCATCCTCATCGGTTTTGGGAGGCTTCTCATAGGGCTCAGTTCGATTCTCACTCCTCAGTGGATTGGGCATCTGGCCAAAGATAGCCGTCTCCTGCCGTTGAAACCTTCTCCTTCTGGCTGCAAAGTCTTCAGGGCCGGCAGGCTCGTAGAGTGCAGCTGTCGCTGGATCCAAGTAGGGCACATGTGCAGGTACTAGAGCTGGTTCCGATGGAGAGTCAAGCTCAGGGAAGTGGTTCGGAACCGGTGGAGCTCCAGTCACAATGGGTTCCAGCATCACAGAAGGGGGTGCAGAAGGTTCTCCACTGGGTTCAGGTTCATCTCCAGTCACCTCCGCAATCGTCGTCGAAGTCGGTTGAGCTGCAATGGGCAGCGTGGTGGGGAGGCATGGGCCGGAAGTCCAGTGGCCGAATCAGCTGGAGTCGTTGGTTCATACTCCGTTGCATCGCCAGGAGGAATGGCTTCAACATTACCAGTCTGGGGGCTCAAGTCCAAGTCCAACCCACCAGCTGGTCCAGGGGACGCAGGAGTAAATGGATCAAGTCGAGGTCGATGCCGCAGAGGTTGGCCATCATCATCATCGCCCATCCCCTCTTCATCAGACATCACCTCCTCGATGTTGCGCTTGTTGGCGCGGCTGAGATCCAAAAATCGGGTCACACCGCGGGACTTCAACTCCAAAACTGATTTTCGGGCTTCAGCAATGTCCCCAACCAAGGTGTCAGCGGCTTGTCGAAAGTCAGGCCGTACATGGTGAGGAGCACATCGCAGCAGCTGGCTTCCATGTGATAGCCAATATTGAAGTGGCTTGCCATCAGCTTGATCTTCTCGAAGAATCACTCTTGCAGGGCCCAGCCATCTGATCTTGCACAAGTCGCTGGCTCTGGCATCACGCCAATACCAACATTGTTGCCCAGGTTGAAGAAGGACATTGGTGCCAGCGTATTGCCGAAGCAAGGCTCTTCTCAAACGTTGATCCTCATCAGCACGGATCAAGGCCATCTTGGCAGAGGTTCGCAAGGACAGGGTCTCTTCAAAGGTTTGAGAATCTCCAAGTTGAGAAGGTGCAATCTCCTCGGAGAGCAAGTCACCAGAAAACTGTGGCTGGTAACCCAAAACCCACTGTGCCGGCGAAAATCCAGCAACCGTGCACATGGAGTTCATCTGAGGCACCACGTAGGACAGGGCTGTTTTGATGCCTTCTTTGGTGTTCAGGCCACGGTCATAGAGAAAGATCTCCACAGCTCGGCGCAGCATTTGATGTCTGCGTTCCACAGTCCCAAGTCGGGCATGAGCTTCGCCAGGAGCCATGTTGTGAATCACTCCCAGGTCCGCCAAGAACTCCTTCATGTCATCGGAAGCCCAGCCAAGGCCTTCGTCAGTGGTGAGCTGGCGTGGGATGCCAAAGATCCGGAACCATCGTCCCTCCAAGGCTTTGATGAAGTCAGTTTTAAGACGATCAAAACTAGCGAGAAGCCCAAAATCAAGGATTATGTTTCTTTAGTTTATTTATTATTTTTTTTTATGAATTCAATATATGCTTTTTATGATTTCAATTTACTGGTATATTTCATTTATGTTTTTTTAATGATTTCTGGTTTCAACATATGTGTTTGCTGCATTTTGCAACACTTGGAAGCTGGAACCTTGCCAAAAACCCTTGGAAGCCATAAAAAAAAAAAAATCATTTAAAAAACAATTTTAAAAAAAAAACATAAATTGTATATAAAATTTATGTTTTTTTTGATTTCCACCTGGTTTCTTGCCAAAACCTTCCAAAACTAGCAAAAACTCCTGGAATTCCATCATTTTGCTTGGTGAAACCTTGAAAAACTAAGGAAAACCATTGATTTTGCTGCATTTTGCACCACTTGGAGGCTGGAACTTTGCCAAAACCCTTGGAACCCATCAAAAAATCATAAAAATCACTAAAAAAATCATAAAATTTATACCAGTAGTACCGCACAAGGCGGTGGCGGAAGTTTCAAAAATAGGAAACCTATAGGAGAGGTTGGTTGTTGTGAATCAGGGATGGCAGAGCGAAGCCACTGATGGACTGAAAGGTGCTTGATCTCTCTCACTCTTTCTATCGCTTTCTCTGACTATCTACCTACCTACCTATCTATTTTCTATGTATCTATCTATCTATCGATCTATCTATCTATCTCTCTCTCTCTTTCATCTAATTACCCAATCTATCTCTCTCTCTCTTTCATCTAATTACCCCATCTATCTCTCTTTCATCTGTCTATCTGTCTAGCTGTCTACCTGTCTATCTATCTATCTGTCTATCTAGTGTTGTGGAGTGTAGTGTAGTGTAATGTAGTGTAGTATAGTGGAATGTGGTGTAATGTAACGTAGTGTAGTGTAGTGAAGCGAAGCGGCGAAGCGACATCCGAACCTCCAAAAGTGGCGCGAACATGTGGTGTTTTGTACATTTTGACTTGGAAATGTGCTTCGCGCGACAACGGCGTGCACTTTTTCAACATCCGAACCTCCAAAAGTGGCGCGAACATGTAGTGTTTTGTACATTTTGACTTGGAAATGTGCTTTGCACCACAACGGCGTGCACTTTTTCGACATCTGAACTTCCAAAAGTGGTCCGAGAATGGTGTGTTTTGTACATTTTGACTTGGAAATGTGCTTCGCGCCCACAACGGCGTGCACTTTTTCGACATCTGAACTTCCAAAAGTGGTCCGAAGAAGCTGGTGTGTTTTGTACATTTTGACTTGGAAATGTGCTTTCCAAAAGTGGGCCGGACTGGTGGTGCTTTGTACATTTGACCTTGGAAATCTGCTTCGCGCACAAACGCGTGCAACTTTTCATCTCTCATCTGGCCAGCTGGCTCCGCACCCGCCGCTTTAGCGAGCCTACTTTTCGACCATCCGGGAGCCCCAAATCATTGGAAAAACACAGTGTTTCGCGACTTTTCCTACCTTTTCGCGCATCTGCATCTTCTTTCTTCTTACTCTTTCTCTTCTACTCTTCTTTCTTCTAATCTTTCTCTTCTCTCTGCCTCTTCCCTGCTCTGCTTTTCATCTGTCCATATTGTCGGAAGTTTGACTTCTAAACTTCCTTCGATAAAATTTATGATTTTTCTATGATTTCCACCTGGTTTCCTGCCAAAACCTTCCAAAACTAGCAAAAACTCCTGGAATTCCATCATTTTGCATGGTGAAACCTTGAAAAACTAAGGAAAACCATTGATTTTGCTGCATTTTGCACCACTTGCCCATCAAAAAATCATTAAAAAATAATAATAAAATCATAAATTTTATATATATTTTATGATTTTTTTATGATTTCCACCTAGTTTCCTGCCAAAACCTTCCAAAACTAGCAAAAACTTCTGGAATTCCACCATTTTGCTTGGTGAAACCTTGAAAAACTAAGGAAAACCATTGATTTTGCTGCATTTTGCACCACTTGGAGGCTGGAACCTTGTCAAAACCCTTGGAACCCATCAAAAAATCATGAAAAAATCATAAAAAATAAAAATAAAATAAAAACATCAAAAAATCATAAATGTTATATAAAATTTATGATTTTTTTTGATTTCCACCTGGTTTCCTGCCAAAACCTTCCAAAACTAGCAAAAACTCCTGGAATTCCATCATTTTGCTTGTGAAACCTTGAAAAACTAAGGAAAACCATTGATTTTGCTGCATTTTGCACCACTTGGAGGCTGGAACTTTGCCAAAACCCTTGGAACCCATCAAAAAATCTTTTTAAAAAAAAAACATTAAAAAAACATTAAAAAATCAGAAATTTTATATAAATTTTATGATTGTTCTATGATTTCCACCTGGTTTCCTGCCAAAACCTTCCAAAACTAGCAAAAACTGCTGGAATTCCATCATTTTGCTTGGTGAAACCTTGAAAAACTAAGGAAAACCATTGATTTTGCTGCATTTTGCACCACTTGGAGGCTGGAACCTTGCCAAAACCCTTGGAACCCATCAAAAAAACATTAAAAAAATCATTAAAAAAATCATAAATTGCATTCATAAAAAATATCATAAATAAATCATTTAAAAAAATATATATTTTGAAACCATAGCTCTGTCGCTGACGCGAACGTCCTAAAGTCAGTTGAATTTTCACCACCAACCACCGTCGCCTCCTGAAACTTTGAAGCGAGGTCGATCACATGAAGGATGGGGATCTTTTGATCGTTGACCTTGATCCACATGACGTCAGCCTGAACAACGTCGTTGAACTTGGTGGCTGTAGGCACAGTTGAGGGAGATGCAGCATTGGGCTTTCGATAGCGGCTGCATGAAGCACAGTTGTAGTTCTTGGCCACATCGATGATCACATCAGAAGCACCACGGCTGGCTAAAAGTTCCACCAGCGCATCCTTGTCAGGGTGCCCAAGATTCCTGCGCAATCGCTGCACAGTTCGAACTGCATCTTGTCGATTGGTGGCCAAGAGCTTGATGAGCTGGCCAGTGTGCTGGCGATCTTCGTTGACGGCCCCTGCAAAGTCCATCACAGAGGGCGTCTCATCGGTCATCATGGCTGCAGCGATCACACAAGTCCAGGCTGGTAGTTCTCCATGAACCTGGTTCGAAGTCCAATCCCAGGTGCAGATCCCTCCAAAGGGCAATGTTGGTGAGAACCATCGCACTTGCGCTGCAGCTCAAGGAACACGGCACGCTTTGTAGTCTGCACTGCAGTGGCCTTTTTAGTAGGCTTCCAAATTCCATCCACATCTTGACATTGGGCACCATAGGCACAGGCATCAAACTCAGCCAGGAAGCTTCATCAGGGCCGTAGTGCGCCAAGACAGAGCATCTTTTGGTTGCTCCAGGTGGCAGTGACAACCATTGGCAACTTGTCGCTCAAAGATGCGACGGCAAAACTGCAAGTGCACAGTGTGGTGCCATTCACGGAGTTCACGTAGTTGATCTTGCTGCTCAGGGCTTCGGGCTGTCAAGCTCTGCATCCGGCTCCAAAGTTTGCAGACCGGTGAGAGCCACACTTCATCAGGAACTTCAAGTTCAAGGCGCTCCAGGAACTGCTTTCGGTGATCCGGCTGGTCAAAATCCCAGCCGTTGTCCAAGGAGAAAACTTCAACCTCAGCTCCAAGGCTTTCAGCTACAGAAGCGACTCGACCACGTCCAGCATAAACTTCCCAGATCACCCTGCGGCGAGAAGGCTTGTGGAGCTCCTCAGTCACATAGGCATGGTATTGGTTGCTCTCTGCTTGCAGGAGCTCATCAGCAGTGCGTAGTTGATGTCGAGGAAGAAGACATTCACCAGGTTCTGGTTCATGTTCAACGGCAACTGCAGGAGAGTCATCCATCAAAGCAAAAGCGGACTCCTCCTCAAAGTCAGCCAAGGTGATGCCCATAGGGTCAACTTCGCCCGCTGGAGCCAGCCGGAGGTCAAAGTCCAAATCCATAGACCTCATGAAGTCCATCGGCTGTTCAGGCTCCCAAAGAGGCAAGAGATACTCACCGTGAAGTCCAATGGTGGCATCCCTCCATGGTCCATCATTCAATCGAACCAAGCGCTGTTGAAAATCCATAACAACGCCAAGAGCCTCAATGATGGGGCGGCCACATAACATCGGGGTCTCACCCTTCAGCAAAAAGACCTGTGCATGGCCGTAGCGGCCAGAGACGCACATAGGCATTTCCATCACCCAGTGACACCAGCTTTCGCCATCACCTCCAAAGTGGAACTTGTGGCGGCATCGAAAGAAGTTGATCTTCTCCATGGGGGTAGCCCTGAGATGCCAGGAAGGTCAAATACCTTCTCGCAGGACCAAAGCCACATAGAAAATCCGATGCCCCAGGGTCAAGCATCGCCACATCAGCTCGTTCATGTCCTTGGGCATCTTGGAAGGTCACGTGGGCATCTTCAAGCTGGGCAACGGACCCCGTTGCTGCTGCAGGGCGCTTGGTGCCAGTCTTGGACGGCACTGGACAATTGGCTGCAAAGTGACCAGGTTGTCCACAGCGAAGACAGCGTAGAGCAGCTTTGGCACGTGCTTTGGGCTCAACAGCTTTCATGGGAGCAGGGCTATGCTTGTAAGTAGCCGGCTTCCCTTTTGGTGAACCACCTTTTGAACTGCCTTTCGACTTGCCCTTCGTGCCTTTTGAGGTTGGGCTGGAACCTGGAGAAGTGACACCAGGGCTGATGTTGCCGGCACTGGGATCGCCGACAGCAACGATTGGCAAAAAGCCACGGGCCAATCGCAAGTCAGAAAATCGCTTGCGAGCATCCAGGTAAGCCGCGTAGGCCTGGTCGTAGGACTTCACATCGTGCCAGGGAGCTTCATCCATCGTCCCATCATCGGCATCATGTTTGTAGCACACAGCACTGGAGTCAAAGGCCTCAGGCTCGTACCATTCTTCAGCTTCTTCGGCATCATCAGCTTCATAGTAGGCTCCATCATCAACCCATTCCGATTGCCACTCTGAGGCACCATCGTCGTAGAGCTCGTCAGCGTCATAGTCCTGGGCAGCATAGCCACGGACCTTGTATCCCTTGTGGAAGGGTTTGCCATGAGCACCATGAGTCGCCTTGTAGTCTTGGCCCAAGATCAGGTACAAGGCCTCGACCACCTTCTTCCGCTCAAGCTGGGGGGCACGTAGCGTGACCAGTTGGCGCTGCTCCTTGGTCAAGTTGGCTTTCCTAAGGAGATGCCAACCTTGCACAGCATCGGGCAACGTCACACTGTGTTTCTCCACTTACGGTGGTATTCATCATGGTCAGAAACAAAACTCAGCAAGGTTTGGTTGGGTTTCCGGGTCAAACTGAAGTAATTGTCAAAGTCCACAGGCAACTGCACCCGGTCATCATACTGAAAATGTCCACCTAGCAGTTTCAGCAGTCCATCGAATGCAGACTCATCGTCAGCTTTTGAAACATCAAAATCCTCAACCAACCTCCATGCCGTTCCAGTCAAAGAACCGACTATGCTAAGGATTGCTTCACCCCTTCGCTTACCAAGGACCATCTTGTGGTAATACAATTGTATCCGTTTCCTCCATTCCTTGTAATCTGACGGCTGTCCTGTGAAAGTTGGGATCCAAGAGTCACGTTGGGAGGATCCCTCAGAGGCAGGTGAAGAAGCAGGACTTCCAGTCGCCATCCACAGAGAGGTTCACCTCTTCGAATTCAGAAACTTCCAAGGGGACAAGGATAGCTAAGAACAATGCTCGATCTGGTCGTTGCCTTTGTCCGGGAAGTTATTCAAGAGCTCAAGGTACGCTGGCCGTTGAGCTCCGCTACCAATGCAAAGGACACAAGCAAAAAGTAGCAAGTGCACCTGCTTGCACCCGCACAAAGTGGTGCAAGACACCAAGAGGCTCACGGTCTTTTCCAAGACCACGGCGCAGCACGAGTTTGGCTAAAAGTCCCTCCCTAGAGGTAAAACGGGCAATTGGGCCGTCGTGGCCATAGTTGAAATGTAAAATGGGGCGAAAGGATCTGACATGCTATGATGACCCAAGTTGTATGGACATGCAACTCACATATATATATATATGTACAGGAAGGTGCCCCCAAGTTATAACTTAAGTTATAAATAGGGATAACTTAAGTTATAACTGGGGGTAACTTGAGTTATAAGTTTCATAACTCATGTGGAAGTTATAAGTCAGATAGGAAGTTATAACTTTCTTATAACATAAACGGAAAAAAGATATAAAGAAGTTAGCAAAGTTAGGTTTTGCATGTCTGCATTTTGGGCATCCAGTTCGTTTCTGATTTCGGAGCCTTTTTTTGGCTTTGGTCGCTGGGTTTTCTATGCTGCGATGGCTGTGGCACTTGAAAGTGTGCCAGGACGTGCGCACATGCAAGATTGGCGCAATTTTCCATTCTTCTTGACCCAAGAAATATGGAAGCATTTGGAAGAAACTCCAGGGTTGCCGCAAATGAATCGAATGGAGAGACTGAGCAGATTCTTGGTGAATGTTTTAGGTATGAGAAACCCTTCAGAGCAGACCATGGCAGTCATGTGCGCATTGATTTGTCGCACTGAGATGGATTCCAGTCGTTTGTCTGCTTCTCTGCAAACCTTGAAGACAGTTTTGCGGACCACGATTTGCCGTGCTGCGCAGCAAGGTTTGGCTGTGCCAGGTGGGTTGCATGTCGAGGTGTTGCCCTCGACCTTCGCAGAACTTCCGGATGTGGTTCGCCAACATTTAGTTGGCGTTGCTATTGTGGCGCCGCCAGATACAGTGAATGTAGCGGAGGTGCTGCAACATGCCAAAGGCATTCCTTTGCGCAACACTCATAGGTCAGTTGCACTGCAGAGGCAGATGCAACAGCCTTTGCAGTTTGGAGGAGCTGCTGGAGTAATGTCCAACCAGCTTGTCGAAGCTGCTGCATTAGTGGCATCCGCGGCCTTGCGCATGCCTGTTGCTGAGACTCAGGGAGGTTTGTCGAATTTGCAGATTTTCCCGGGGAATCGTTTGGTTCCAAGCAATGGATCACAGCCTCGTCAATTGCAGAACTTGTTGCAGCGGCATGAGATGGAAGCTGCATCTGTGGCCTCGGTTGCAATGCCCGCACCAGCGCAAGCTCCGCTTGCGATTATGGACGGGCGCCCTGAAGCAGCGCAGCAGGGGAATGTTGCGGGTGTGGAAGGACAGCCAAGTGCCTCACGCGCTGACATTGCTCAGCCATTGGTGACGGGAGACAGCATTCGAGACGTTCAGGAGTTGCCAAGAGCAGCGAAAGACGATGGGGAGGCTCCACGAGCTGATGCGGTGCTGGAACAAGAGGCGGTGAAGCAAGCGCCTCCACAAGTTGCTTCTGCCGTGGCTCTATTGGCTAAGGCGCACTATCGAGAAGATTTGGACATGGAGCCACGGCCTCCGAACCCGCGTGGTAGACCGCCGAACGTTTTGAAGCGCCCCGCTGCAAAGCCGGGCATGCCGAACGCAAAGAAGAAGCCTGCGGCTGCTGTGAGCTCTCCATCTGTTTCGATTGAGGAGACGTCACGTCAAGTTGTTTCTATGAAGAAGCCATCTGCAAAACAGATGCCTCAGAGTAAGCCATCTGTGCAGAAAACAGTGACCAAAGCACAGCGCATGAGGCAGCGTCCACATGGATGCGCCACTTGCCGTAAGACGCCTGGCTGTTGTCCTTCGTGCTGGAAGAAGCGAGGCTATGAAGTGTTGACTTGATAGAGTTCATCTTCAGTCAGATCAAATTGTACTTTTGACAAGCGCTGTTGGCGAAAGCGTCCAAGTTTTGATCCTCGAGATGCGGATGCTGCTTGGAAAAGGTGCAGTTCAATTTCTTGTTCCGCATAGGTTCGTTTTGGGAAATTTCCAGATAGGTTTCTTATATTCTCTTTCTCCATATATATTATATGAAATAGTTTTACTTCGTGCGTATTGTGCATGTTGTTCTGCGGCTTTTTTTGCCTTGATAGGTTCATGTGGTAGGTGTTTTGGCTTTGCTGTGAATTTTTTGTTGCTTTGCCCGTTTTCTGTCGGCATGGCTGCATCAAGCTCAATGGAAGTGAAAGAAATCACTTTGACAACCTGTGAGGACGGTACAATTGCGGTTGTCAGTGGTCCGCAGCGAGTGGAAATCGATAGCAAAGCTTTGGAGGAAGTGTGGAAGGAAAAAGAACCGGAAGTCGCGCCAGTGACTCCGGAAGTGATGCCTGTCGTTGACAAGACGGAGAGGAAAGAGCCACAGCCATGTCTCCAGGGATGGCGACGCACTGTTCATGCTGCTGCGAAAGAGTGCATGAAGGAGATAGAGGAACGCGTTGAGTGCGCAGAAGAGTTCAACGACTTAGATGATTATCCAATTTATCAAAAGCTTCTTGCTTTAACTGATGCTCTGCGGATGGATCCGGATCTTGACAGAAAGGCTGCAGATGAGACACTCGATCTGGCGCGCATGTACTTATACTTGTGCGATCTAGATGATACCTGATCACGTCGCAATGCATTGGTGACGGTGCATGAACGCATCCGTACTTTTGATGCCGCTCGAAGATGAGAGAAAAGGTTTCTCATGTGGTCGCAGTTATGGGCGCAGAGAAGAAGTTGTGCTTTTTTTTGGGGTATGGGGGATTTAAAGTTAACTTGCAGAAACTGTTTGCTACCTTGTTGACTTGGACGGGGTTTAGGTTGAGTTGAATGCTTGTGTTTTCTTTTGGCTCAAATCAGCCGCTCGGTCGCTGTGTTGCCTTGCGGCTTTCTACTGAGGACGCGAGGCCGGAGCTGCAGGGGTGGATATAATGCATCTATGGTTTGATTCTATATAGGAGTAAAGGGATATACCAATAAGGATTCCAAGTAAACGCGCTCCGCCTGCGGGCCAGCGGCCAGCTAGCTTCGCCTGCGGGCAAGCTGAGACGTTTCGCCTACGGGCAAGCGACGAAGCTGCGCCTGCGGGCCAGCTGCTCCAAGCTTCGCCTGCGGGCAAGCTGAGAAGCTTCGCCTACGGGCAAGCTACGAAGCTGCGCCTGCGGGCCAGCTGCTCCAAGCTTCGCCTGCGGGCAAGCTACGAGGCTGCGCCTGCGGGCCAGCTAGCTTCGCCTACGGGCAAGCTGAGAAGCTTCGCCTGCGGGCGAGCTACGAAGCTGCGCCTGCAGGCCAGCTGCTGCAAGCTTCGCCTGCGGGCAAGCTGAGAAGCTTCGCCTACGGGCAAGCTACGAAGCTGTGCCTGCGGGCCAGCTGCTGCAAGCTTCGCCTACGGGCAAGCTGAGAAGCTGCGCCTGCGGGCCAGCGAGTCCAAGCTGCAGTTGCTGCGTTTGCTTCCTTATCACCATATATATATGTAATATATATATATATTATAGTTTTTATAGATACAGGAAGTATATCTATATATATGCCAAAAAATATACATTGCCATACATCCGCCTATCCCATATACTTTGTTTCTTTGTTCCCGGCTGCAGGTGGAACTACAGCATGGCGTCGTCGAGCGTGTCTCGCAGTCGCTCGGCAAAGCGCAGTCCGAGCCGCAAGAAAGAAGAAGACGAGAAGCCTTCGAAGCCTGAGAAGTCGGAGGCGCCGTCTGCTGCGCCAGAAGCCACAGAAGGGGAAAAGCCAGGACGCTGGGACGAATGGAAGCAAGAGGTGCCGGAGAAGAAAGAAACGAGGAAGGATTCTTTCGAGGACAAAGCGCGTGCTGTGCGAACCCGCTCTGCTGGTGGAGGAGCGGTTCGCAATCGCCGCGCTGCTGGCACGCCTGGGACGTTTGAATGTCCTGAGTGCTACA